GTCAGATAAAGACCATCAGACTCTTGTCAATATCAGCAAATGGACCCCTCTTTTAAAGGATCCCCATGGACAAGATGGCCAAATGGCCCAATTATTTGGTGATGAATGGTTTAAAAAATTGTGGCTTTTTTTTGTTTCAGCAGTAGTACATGTTAATTGACAGCATCATGCAGGTTCTAGATATTTTTAGCACTACCGGGTAATGCTCAGAATAAAGGCAATGAGTTGGCTGAAATACACTGTACCCCCATTAAATGCAGATAAAAAGAAACCATCAAAGCACAAATTTTGGAACAGTTTCCTTCCTCTGTTAAATTTATAACTTTCCTGTAGGCTGGAAACAAAAATTGTCTATGAAGTGATTTTTAAGTCATGAGGTAGAGGTTTTCAGTTTTATTTAAAAAATGATGGACTGTCCCTTATTATCAAGCTAATTAGAAACTACCCAAAATATCTGAATTAGGCAACTTGAGTAAATACAGATGTTCTAGCTAATTCAAAAAGCATTAATTTGGTCATAACACTTCTGGATATCAACAAAATGAAAACCACCTAGTAAAATTATTCTGTAGATATTAAAATTGCGGCAATTTAAAATTTCAGACATCTTATGTTATTTAGAAATAAAAAAATAAATAAATATGAAATTAATGATTACCTGTACAAGCATTACAAAGCCAACAAGATGTTAAAATATTTCTTCTTCTCAATAAGGTTATCATAGCTTCACATCAGTTATCGTCACCTTTATAGTTAAAACCTTCAGAGTGAAATTTTAGGCATTATATGTTATGGACTTGGGGGATTATTACAATTTCTATGGGACCAGCAGAAAACATTATATTTTATTGAGGTGAAAATGGAATATGTACTTCAACATTTCAACTTGATCCTCATACATAAACACCGAGAAAAAAGAATGTGCTTTAGGGGATACATTTCAACTTTCATCAAAAAAGTACAACAAACCAACCTTATTTTATTCATGAAAAAGATGCTGAATAAAGGAAGTGTAAATAATATAATGCTCTTTTCAGTCCACTGGTCAAAATTAAGAACTTTAAACAATCTTTAACCACAAGAATCATACAAGGCAATATGTTTCACAATTATGCAAGGTATATGATTTTTTTTCTTAATAATCCGGATTCAAACTTTATTCAAGATATATAGAATTTGAAATCAATTTCTGAAAAACCCATTGTAAAATGAACATTTGAATCAGCTAGCTATAGGTTTTTTTCTTTTTTTGTGAAAATAAATACTTTATAATAAAACATATGTACATCATATTAATCATACATATATGCAAATAGGTTCAAGTTTCTGCTCTTTATTTATATTAAATGCATGTGTATACCTGCTTCACTGTAGCCTTGACCTTAAAAACACCTCTAAATGAACACATACCATTCAGAACCAATTAATGTCTGTTTTTCCTCTTACATGTTTATGTTTACTCATAAATCAAAGGAAAAATAAAGAACTTCCCCAAACAATAAAGCCATGTTACATAAAACTTCGACATGAAGTTATGTCGAAGTTTTGGTTCTATCAAAAACAAATTATCGCAACCATGCCAAAAACCTATAGGAATGCCCAACCTGAGATCAGCTTTAAGATTTCTCAATGACTTCCTCTTTATATATGGGAGATCAGCATAAAAAAAAGAATGGTGTTGATTAAATACAAATATTCAGAGATTTGAAGAGGTAAATCGATCCCAATAAAACACAATATGCATTATAGACCTACACCTGTTAATGTGACAATCAGGTAAAATTTTAGAACAGCATGGCACATCATTACTCTGTCATTATCAACGGGCCATGTCGAAACAAAAAAAAAATCTTTTTTTCTGCTTGAAAGGCTACTTTTTGTAGGCATATATTAATATTGGTGAATGCTGGATCACCTGAGAAAATCAATATGGCACCTGCATTGATGTTGGTCAATTATTGTAGTGTTAATTAACTTCAAACTTACCCTGCTCAAAATCTATATCCCCCAACATAGCAGCTGATCACTTGAGTAGCACCATATAGAATCAGTGGTTGAGGGGGGGAGGTGTTGACAAGTCACTGCACTGTTAAGTTTATATATACTTCTGAATTTCCACTTTCTGTTTTGAAAGTGTAAACAGCAGGTAATAATCCAATATAGACTTCAGGTCCTTTTAATTCAGAAACCACCATTCAAAACACAGCTAGCCATCCATGCAGTTATATTAAGAGCTTCCAATGTACATTTTTTTCTCTCGAAAGGTGTACGCTAAATTTGACAATAAAGTTTGAACTTTGACCTTGCCGAGGCCCTTAGGACATTAATAATTGATTATTGAACAATTGATAGGTTCATATGCTTTCAATAACTGGATAATCCATTGATAAGATGTTGATAAAATGTGTATTAGGTTTTTGTAGCATTGTTTGCAGAGTCTTTGTTTAGACACAAAATGGTTGTATATATACTACTCCGCAGAAAATAATTTATTCCATATCCCTATCCTATTATATATGCAGAAGGGTTTCTAAAAGGTGTATGTAAAATCAATTTAGGCCAGTGAAAAGTAAAAAAAAAATGCACCACCTCAGCAAAACTTTGGAAAGTGTCAACTTATTTACTCTGGCTAACCTTATTACGTTCTTTGCCAATTTATGGAGGGAAAAAGGCCAGATATTGGCCCCTTCAAAATGGTAGTGATTAGAACTTCAAAAACTTTAAACAAATAAAAAACATAGTTTGTTTGCTGTTTTATTCTTGATGTTTGAATATGAAGTGCAGGTCTGAGCCTGCATAGCTTGCCTTGTCATGGGGTTTACACTACCTATGGGGGAGAGGTATATATCTGCAGCTGTTTTATGGGAATTTCTTAGCTGCATAGAGGGAAAATGATGCAAAAAATTGAGGACCTCTCATAAGCACAAGCTTATCTGTATTTATCAGGCCCAGTAGGTGATAAATGGACTGATATAGTTCTTCAGAATACAAATTATGCAATCCTACTTGCACAGTTAACTTTTTATCTTATCATATGTTTCTAATGTTTATCATCTGAAAATGAAACCAAAATTCTAAATTATATGACCAGTCTGTTTTTTAAGGATGATCTGCATACCAGTACATTTTCATAATTTGGACATTCATGTTTAATAAACATCTATTCTCAAAGTGGATAAAAAATCAACTTTTATAAAAAGCATTGTTTTTGTTAAAATCAGATGGTTCAGGGTTTGAATCTTGGCCAATCTTGTGATTGAGAAATGGGCATCAAAGTTCTATCTACTCTCTTGCTCTGTATCAAGTAAAACCTCCAGGAATGGACATTAACTTGATCTATGTTCCCTTTTATGGTGTTAGACTATAAAACAAAAGAAGAATTCTCATCACATTAGTCTGACTAGATAGTAACCACATGGTAACATAGATGACTTGCCAGATTGTGTACAATACAGACAATCGATCAAACCACTTAATTCTCAAGGTTGTGTTAAATGAGTTTGGAAGTGGGTATTGTTTTCTTCTTACTGTTTTCAACATAACATAGAGATGGTATGAACACTGAACAAATGAAACCAATGACTGCACTATGGGGTATTTAGTACTTAAGATTGTTATTTGCACTTCTCAGAAGCTAAACAGGATGTGTCTAGTGAGCTTCACACAGTTGCAACTCAGACATATTTTCGCCCTCCCACTCATTCAAGATAATTCCTCTGTATCCATCGAGATGACAGAAGATTTAGCCACGGTATGAGAAACACATGAAGACGTCATCCTAGACATTTTGAGTATAGTTTTAAAGTCAGTGAAAAAGAGGCCTTTACCCCACCTTGTGCAATTATTAACAACTTCAATTTTCTAACATTTCGGAACTAAAGATTAAAACACGATAGATTCAATTTTGAAAATGAAACAATTGCTACAATTCATTTGTATAGGTACTTAATGGAAATCTGACTTAAGGTTATGGATAACAAAAGTAAGTGTTACAAAACATCAGATTTCCCTTGTCTGTAATATAAATGTCTACTTCTTCAAATGAGAAAGCAAAAATCATTAGGAACAATTCTTTTTCGCAACTCTTTATCTTCAGAATGCCTCTCTATCTAAGTACTCAGGCATCTACAGAAGCTGGTGCTTTTAATTATTTCCAACAGATTTATTTGTTCTAACTCCAAGAATTTGCCAGCATTATACCTACTCAATGCCAAAGAAACAGTGAATCTGAAGACAGTTTTCAATACTTCCTAGCTAATCTTATTACATGCATCTCAATTTGTTAAACAAGAAGGATTTTTGAAGAAATGCTTTCAACCTAGGTTATTTCGCAATAGTCAGGTTAACAATTCAATCAAGAATTTCTACTGAAGTCAAATTAAACTCTTATTTGAAAAATTCATCCTGTTTCCATAAACAGGAATAAGAAACTGAACAGTCTTTTTTTTTAACCACTTCATATTTCAACCAAAAGAGTCCATCAGAGAAATTGTACTTCAATGCCAATATTCTGAAATGCATCCATAGCCATGCACAGTTACATCTATAATTATCTTGATTTCACAAGGTGACTTTAAAAAAGATTTTTATACAAACTTTTCCTTAATCTACATTTACATATCTGAGAGCTGGTCAAAGGTCACTGTGACCTCATCCAACAGTCCATCAACTCTTACTATTTCAGACAACAATGGACATCCATAAAACATTCACATGGATTTCCTCTTCCTTGTTTTTGGTGGTCATCTGACCCCTATTTGACATTAACTCATGCTTTCTCTTCTTGGTTTCTATTGCTTACTGTTTTCCAGTTCATATTTTCCTACCTGAGTTTCCTCCTTTCATGATTATTCTGGTCCTAATTCCTCTATCAGACACTTACCTCCTCAGGTTTCCTCATTTGTTCTTGTGGTCCTCTTTTACACTGAGAGACACTTAGCTCCTCAGGTTTCCCCTTTGATTTTTGTGGTCCTCTTTTTCACTGTGGGATGTACACTTACCTACTCTTGTTTCCTCCTCCTTAGTTCTCGTGGTCTTCTGTCCTTTTGGTCCCTTTTCTTCTTCCTTTGAAAATTTAGAAGAAATGGTAAGTTTTCCCTTCTGTTCAATTTTTGAGGACTTACTAGAAGCTACACTAACTTTCCCCTTTTCTTCCTCCTTAGTTTTAGCGGTTTTGCTAGTTTTAGAAGACACATCAATAACTTTCTCGACTTCCTGTGATTTAGAAGCTGAAGCCGTTTTTGCAGCTTCAGTTTCTTTGGGTGACTTTAGAGATGTTGATAATTTTCCTTTTTCTTCTTTTGAAAATTTAGATGAAGGAGAAGATGATGGTTTTCCAACAGATTTTAAAGTAGCTCCAAATTTAGAAGCCATATTTTGCGAATTACAAAAATTGGAAAAATCACAATAAATTTAAATCAAAGTTTCCTTTATCAGCAAACAAGTAACTTAAGTTCCAGTGAATTCACTTCACACTATGCACATATAGTAATACTCCCTTCCTACGATGAAAATCGACTCACAAACAAGACATGTGCACATCACATCAGGAGAGAAAATATTTGTTGAAAAGAGCCTCAAAACAAGCTATAAATAACACTCATCATATCTATCAGTTTTGTCTTCTCTTAATTATACTAAGGCAGTTGCCACCAGAATTTTCTTGCAGTCGCCCAGAGCAAGTATACTTTTCATTGGGGAGGGGTTGGAGGAATTTTTTTTTTCAAGAAAAATGAGGAAGTGTTTGCTCTAAGAAATAATGGTAAAGGCACTACAATAATCGGATTCTCTGTAATCGCAAAGCACTGTGTTAGTGGCTTGCCAAACTAACAAAGGGAGACAACTGCCTTCTGGTTTAATTATCTTCACATCAGGTGTATGGAATGTAGGGAGGATCCTATAGGTTGTTTATTTGTTTTACTTTGCTATTTCATCAATAATAACACCTTTTTGTTTTTATTTTGGCAAAAGACATTGGATTCAAAATTGTAGAAATTACATGATATATTTCTAATGACCGTAATAAGCTTAGATCCTGGTTTTCATGTTTTTTCTTGGAGATACCCTCCTCTTTGGTACCTATGCCAAAACATGAACACAGATGACATAACAGTTGTTTGTTAGAATAACAAGTACCTACACTAACATAACCAAAATTTCTAGCACAAAGGGGAAAGAACTCTACTGAAAACCAACAGCAACATAATTAATAGGTATGATCTACTTTGTATGTACATATAAATGTTTATGGTTTATCAAAGTTAATTATCTTTTTTATTTTTTGACCAGTATAATTTTGTTACAAAGCATTTATATCATGTTATTTTGGCTTTGTTGATTATGTACAAGGATAAAGCTTGGTTATGGTAATATGACTATAATTATTTTGCTTGATTAAAACTAATGCCCCAAGTATTAAGTTTTAAAATTTTTAAGCATAAAGACGTTGTAGGTAGCTAGGCTAGAGGCCAGTGAGTATGTGACTGGTGTTGTCAAAGTTCTGAGAAATGTAGTCATAGATATCTTTGACAAATGTAACCATACACATATCTAAGTGTATTCACAGATATGTGTAATCAGTTATATCAATGATAAATGTATGTAATAAATACTATTGATACCTGTATTCACAGATATCACTGACAAATGTAGTTACAGATATCAGATACCTGTATTCACAGATATCACCAATACATGTATTCACATATATCACCAATACCTGTAGTCACAGATATCACTGATACATGCAGTAGTGACATATATCACTGAAGAATATAATCACATTTATCACAGATAAATGTAGTCAGTAGATGTCATTGAAAAATACCATCAGATATATTACCTACAGATGTATGTAGTCACAGATATCACTGACAACTGACAAATGCACTCACATGTATCAACAATAAATGTAATAATGATATCACTGCTAGGTGTGTAGTTACATATATATATCACAGCTCTACGTAATAATGTCAGATACATAGTCATACAGATATCAGTGCTATTGGTGCTAAAAACCTGTTCGAGTTGAAGTATATAATAGATATCACTGATACACATTATAAGCTGCATATGTAAGTGATAAAGATAAGTGACAAAGATCTGTCTATTGTTTGTGCTATTATAATACTTAGTTAGGACTTTAACGGTATGTAAGGACACTTATTTCACACACGAGTAGAAAAAGCTATTTCCCGTCAAATTCCAATCATTCTGGCAAGTCATAAATATGCTGGGTTTCCATTTTACTTACTTTTTGAGCTGTATAAGCCACAAAAAATCCTAAAGCCACTAACATTGTACACGTAAACAGTACCCTCCAGTCAATAATCAAGTCATTCCCCAATAAAATTAATATTGCATGCTTTTGGTTCATGTAAATAACAGAAATTGATTAAATTACACTGTCAATAAATCGTCATATGGACATTTCATTATACTCCTCAAATATAGTAAGTTTTTACAACTGGACAGTTCAGTTCTTTAAAAATTAATCCTGCACACTTGGTTATTTTCAGACATAGCAGTTATTATGGAGTAATCTAATTAATTGGTCCTTGGCTAAAGGAAAAGTCACATAATCTCCTAAGACTTTTAACAATACAAAATACAACTTTCTTTTCAATGTTAAAACATTCACTTTTTTAAAGCATATATCAAAAGTACTAAAAAAAAAATAGTTACATATTACTTTTCCCTTAATTGATTTTTCGTAAACAGAGAGTAAAAAAAGCCTGAAAATAACACTTATTTCCATATTGGAAATGTTATTAAAGCTTATTTTGTTTACTTTTTGCAAAATTAAGTTTGTTATGTGCCTTTGATATGAGTTTCCTAGCATTAGAGAGTATTATCAGCATGCATATCATAACATACTCACTAGACTTGTTTCATACGTGAATTTTCTCCTTTGCATGGAGTCGAGAGAGGGAGAAAAAACTAGGAATGTGGATGACTTGAAGGTCACCTATGTACATGCAAAATGACAACAAAAACATAACATACAACATGCAGCCAACACAACGCATTCTACAAAAAACAACATTTTGAAATGTAAACCAACCTTCTTGTGATAATACTTTCATGAGTTTTGAGGGAATAGAACTACCCTTAAAGTTTGCTGCCATGAATAAGTCTAACAACATTTTCCATATATTAAAATAAGTTTAAGAGTATTTTTCATGTCTTGAAAATAAAATTAAAACTAAGAAATCATGTAAGAAATTTTTTCCAAGATTGTTTGAATGGCAATCCTCATGAAAGAAATCACAAAAACAAGTTCATTTACAGTTTGTGACATTCCCCAGCAGGTGTACACATGCTGACATACCCATGTCTGATGATAATGTAGATGAGACATAAATCAATAAGGGGAAAGAGGGAGGGAAGAAGGGGGGGGGGGGGGGGGTGGTAGCAAACAACTGAACAAAAGTGATCCCTACATTCAACTGCTTTGTGTAACCCACACTGGTGACACCAGTATTTTTTTACCTTATATATTTTTGGTAGAGATGTTTTTCTTGCAGAAAAAGAAAATGGCACATATCTCAAGTCCCCCATTGACTTAGAAAATTGTTGAGATAGCCTTTTTACCAAGTTTGATGGAATTTGATCTAAATCTGAGTCTGTGGTACTTTTACTAAAAACAAGATCATCATCTCTGGAAAATTTTTTATAGTTCTGTTTTTCTTCTATGACTTTTATCTTGGGAGGTTCTGTAATGTTTTCATCAGATTCAGAATCACTTTTACCAATGCTTACAAGGTCATCAGTGAAACAAGAGACATTATCATATAAATACGACACAGATCCTTGGACACTTATAACAGAGCAGTTATCCCTCAAGTTGTCTTCACTTTTGTTGTCCAATTCAGATGTACTTAAGCCTTCATCATTGTTTCTCATATATTTATATCTATTAAATTCATCCTGAGTTTGGCTATTTCTTTCCTCTAATGCACTGAAGTTTATTTTGCCTTGATTCTTTGAATCAGTTGTATCAAAATCATCTTCAATGTCCTCCATTTCATCAACAATTCTACTCTCATCTACAACATCACAGGAAATATCATCATCTAAGTAATCCACTGACCCCTGGATGCTTCCCATAGAACAGCTGTCCTTTATATCATCTTCAGCCTCGTTAGGAATAATGTCAGATTCAAATTCATTTATAGTCTCGTTCATGCCACTCAGCTGCTGATCTACATTTTCTGTGAAATAAGAAACACTGTCATCCAAATAAGACACTGATCCTTGTATACTTAGCACAGAACAGTCATCCTTCAAATTGTCTTCAAATTTTGCTTCAACTTTTTCATCCTTTTCTGATGCATTAAAGTTTCCACCCACATTCTCCATAGGTACATATCTATCCAACTCATCTTCAACTTCGTTTTGTTGCTCCAATGAGGTGAAATCGAATTCACCTTGATTATCTGAATTAGAATCATCATCAATGTCGTCTTCAATTTCATCTACATTTCCACTTTCCTCAAAGACATCACAAGAAACATCACCCAAGTTTGCAACTGATCCTTGGATGCTTCTTACAGAGAAATTATCCTGCATATCTTCAATTTTATCCGATAAAAAGTCCATTTCAGATTCATTTGCAAGTTCATTCATACCTCCACTTTTCTTCTCCACATTTTCTTTTTCATCAGAACTGTTTTCTATGTCAACAAGATTTCCCTTCCCTTCCTTTCTATTACTCACATTACTATGTCCTATGGTTGTAATCCTTGGTACATGTATGTCATTTTCGTAAATATCACAGTTATCATAAATATTTGTCTCTTTGGCATCAGTACTGTCACTCACGGTACTTTGATTGGGTGTTTTTAGAGTGAGGCTGGTGTAACTTGTACAAACTTCTTGTGGGCTAACAGGAGATAAATCTTCATACTCATGAGTGGGGGTCATAATGATCATAGGGGGATCATTTACATTCACAGTGTTGAGACTCCCAGGACCAGAATCATCATTATTAACAGACTTAGGTGAACAAATGGGGTCCAAGTAGTCATCAAAGTCACCAGAAGCAAACACATCCTCAGAACTGAGGCTCCTGCTTCTTTCCATGTCCTCTGAGGAGTTATCTCCCTTCTGCACATTACCTATCTCCTCATACTCATCGTTTGGATACCCTGGTGAAATAGTCCCACCTACTGACGACAGATTAAACAAGTCCTCCCTTCCAGATAAGGATTCCTGAGACATAGGATTCTGCACAACTCTGGCACACTGTAGGTGGTTCTCTAAATAAGAATTGTCTAGCTTTGCAATTCCAATTTCCATTTTATATGTGGAACTGTGTCCATTTTCACTGCTGACACCATTGGTGTCAATATCTAAATTGCTTTTTCCTTCCTCCATTTTGTCAATCAGGTCAACATTCCCACATGTGTGTTTGTTGCTTTTTTTTTTTTAATCCCAGTCAAGACTTGGGTTGAATTAAAAATCCACAGAGGCTAGAGCAGTAGATGCATTCTTGTCATTGTACACCTATAATACATTGTTGCACAACAATGTCTCTCAGAGGGATCAGGTTACAATCCTTGTGGCACCAAAATATTTCTGCGACTATTTTTTAAAAATATTTAGATCAAAGAATTTTCACACAGGCATTCAATTTCAGTCATTAAAGTTCAGCAAATATACATACTAGGTAAAAACAAAGGTTGATCTTAAAGGTATCTGTTCTTTGGCTCTCCTCCAGGTAGAAGTTATATGGTCAAATAAATAATTTAGTAAGCTTTAACCAAATTTATTACACGTTCATCTAATTTCCCCAAAGAATCTGCACTTGTTCGAGCAAGTGCCTTCAGTCCCAGTCAGTAATGTAAAACCACTTGAAAACTTCCTATGAAAAAAAATGCACCGTAGTATGTGGGCTCAAAACACTTGACATTAGACTTATGTGCGGACAAACACTAAAAAAAAAGCCGTTGTCCACATTTCCTCCTTAAAGGTGTGTCATTTGTCTGTATTCCATTATTAACATGGTACAGGCATGCCACAGGGTTCACTTATTACGACTTGTCTCATGTAATCGCCCTGATTACTTAGTCAGCCTTTTCATGCATTGACACCTGCATATATAGTAACAATAGACTCACGAATACATCACTTAATGGTCATGGTCCATTTCACCTCTGTTACTGTATGAATATCATAAAAAAGGCCTTGGTTCTGTTTATTGCAACTAATAATCATAGATATTCACACCTGGGCCTCAGGTTTACATGGAGGAATTAAGGGGTTTTTTTCCCTTCAGATATCTATTACAGCTATAGGGAGTTTTCACTATTGTGATTGAACCTTGACCAAGTGTCAGATAGTCCTTATCAGCATAGCTAGACCACAACCATTGATTTTTTTCTTGCCTTTGACATTTTCCAGAATTCCCTTTTCCTCCATTACCTGTTTTCCTTTCTATTTTTAGCCATAAACTAATTCACAGTTGTACATAAAATCCCCATATAAGGAATTATTCACCATCTCACACACAAGTCTTCTTAATCAGAATTATCCACGTAATGTTTGATTTTTCCGTTAGGAAGCCCTTCCTAGCCGTTTCACCTTGATTAGGATAACAGGTATAAACTTAACAATCAATGACTTCACACACAGCCTCTGGTCTATAAGGGGGAAGATTGTCTCTATATCATGTATAAAGTCTTCTCATTCACATTATATATTGCATTATTAATTGCTCCGGAAATGCAAACCGGTGCATATTTCTCCCTTATATTCCTTGTCAATTGATTCTAATGGGACAAAATATACTTTGTACAAACTAAATATCACCATGATCATGGACTGATGAGGCAAACATTTAAGTTAATGTAGTTAATTGATGACTCCCAATATAAATGACTCTGTGATATATTAGTAAGGAATGTTAATCAAATTTTTTTTAATCAAATGATATTTTCATGTTTATTTGGTATTAAAGGATTTTTTTCTTACACTATCCCAGATACTACGGTGAATTTCAAACTTTCCAGGTTTTTTCTTCTTTTTTTTTTTTTGGCTTTTTACATATATAATTTATAAGTACCTGGGAATGAATCTTAATGATTTGGAAAAAAATAGCCATTTTACCAAGAAAAGAGCATTTACTTGACTGTAATCTCAATATGCATAAAAATAATTGTCAGAAGAAATAGGCTTTTTTCTCATCAAATTTCTTATTTTAAAAATAAATGCTGATTCAGAAGATCAAGACCAAAGCTTGATTTAAATGTATGATAAATTGATCAAATCTTTCAAGGAAACTAGTGACAAATCCATGTACAATTTTACACATTTGATAAACAAATAAACATGTTTATGTATAAAATACAAATTTGTGAAAGATACTGCAAGAGGAATAACTCTTGAATCCTTCTTTACAACAAATAAACAAGCACATAATTTGTACTAATAATAAAATTATAAGGCTCGATCAATCTAAATATTTCTACAGTTTATATGTTGTTTTTATCCACTTGTGTCAGGATTTTGAGTGTCCTTTTTATTCTTATACCAGTATAACGACACACATTTTAACCACTACATAATTAAAATGTGACTCAAGTGTTAGCTATCAACACAAAATGTTTACAGACGAGCCTTTGTAAACAAGCACCTGTGTCACCCTGATGAGACCTCCTCTCAAAGTGTAGTATACAGGGACATATTGAGGGCATCTATCAAAACACTTGTACTGTATGGCAACTAGTAAATGGCCGAGATACCTACATACACAGGAAATCTTCTGTCGCTTTAACTACAATCTACACTGCATAACATTTGATTTTGATATTCCCACCTACCACGACTGTGTATTGGATGCATTTTATGAAACCGAAACATCTCTGCCAGTTTACTTCAACTTACATGAATGATAGGCACTTACTAAATGCAAAATTATAATGATTTTTGAAGAGTTTCAAATGTGTATTGACACATATTAACCTAACACTCATTTCAAATTAGTGTAAATGCATGTATATCAAAGATCAAAGATATATATATTATAAAATTATCTAAATTTATCACATATTTACTCCTTTATCCAGTGGATAGATAGCTCATATGATATCATTTTTGTATCAACAGCTGTGAGGTCACAATGCTTTTTGCTTGAAAGTGATGAAGTCAAATAAAAACTGTGTAAAACAGATAGCTATGTAAAACGTGATAAAAAGAATCTCCAATGGTTTGTGGCTGGATATGATTCTTATCCAACAAGTTCCCTGTTTTTCATCCCCCTAGCCATGGCAAGGGGATAGGACAGAAAAAACACAGGAGTTGGATAAAAATTATATCCAGCCACAAATCATGGGAGATCCTATATATACACTTTTGAATATATATATTTACACTAATTTGAGATGCCAATGTTTACCACAAAGAGGAAAAAAGCAACACACAGATTAATCAAAATTACACATGAATCAATTTAGACACTGAAACTTCTTTACCTGTTCAATTTCCCCCTCTGAGGAGCTGGGGCTCCTGGTAATGGCCAGTTCCTCCACTAGAGGTTGGACAAGACTGTCAGACTGTAGAGGATCTTTGGTCTGTGATGACATGTTCTCATCTGCTTCCACTACTTCATCTGCAAATATCGGCAAATTGTTACAAAAAAACTTACAGAAAGACTACAAGTTTTTGGAGGTAATTAATAAAATTCTTACAATGTTAGCTATAACTTGTATTGCATAATTTTTTAATACACCATCTGCTTCATGTTTATGAAATTGAATAAGAAGTGAAAAATCATGCTACATAATGAATATAATGGCTCATATTATGATTAAATGAACCTTTCAACAGAAGCAGTTTCAAAATATGCTTCACATCATAACTAGCTTGTGAAGGCTCACCTTGAATAAATTGTTGTGAAACATCTTCAACCACAGCTGGTTCCTCAATCTTCTCTGGAGTTGGTTCTCTAAATGTCTCAGGAGCTGGTTCATCGACTGGCTCCTCAGGCTGAGGAGGACCAGTGTCCTCCTCTGTTTGCTCCTCTACTACCTCCTCCTGTTGAACCTCTACTAATTCTTGTTGCTCCTCAGGTTCCCTTTCTTGTTCATTGACCTCAGCATTCTGAGAAAAATCTCCAATAAGTTCCTCAGATACTGGTCCTCCTTGGTCCATAAGAGATTCGCTTTGGTCCACATTTTCTGTCATGACTGGCTCCTCCTCAGTAGGTACCTCATCCAAAGGTTGCTCCTCTTGTTCTACAGCTTCCTCTTTGGATTCCTCCACTTTGCTTTCTTCCACAACATCAGGTTCCATGGCTCCTCCTAGTAGGTCCTCAGATTCCTTTGCTGAAGTTGTTTCTCCTTGAAGGTCGTCCTCGGGAATGAGTCTTGTGTTTGTAACATCACTGTCCACTAGAAGTTCTCCTGATGTGCTTGATCCACCTTCCTGTTCTAATGATCCACTTTCCTGCTCTAGATCCTCAATGGCTTCATTTTTGGGTGAGAATTCATCCACCACAGGAGTTGTTTCCATATTTCCACTTATATCGACAATGTTATCATTGCTCTGTCTTCCATTTTCATTAAATACATCCAATTCTTCACTTTTATTGACACCTGCATCCATTTCAACTGAACCATTCACTTGATTTTTCTCACTTCCAAGTAAGTCTCCTTGATTTGAAGAGTCTAGTCCCAACAAGTCATCAGAATTAGTGTGTCCATTTGTGCCCTCAGTTGACAAAAAATCATACATAGGATTTGAGGACCCTGAGGACATCATTAAGTCTCCCTTCTGGACCTCAGGAACAGAATTCACATCATACAAAGGATTCACTGGCTCTGTATCTCCCATATTATCTTGTTGCATAGACAGGGCGTATAGTGGATTTAAATCGGAACTGGAATTCACAGGTTCTCCGTGACCATTCGTCGAAGAGGTATTCCGTGTACTGCTAAACTGAAATGATAAATAAAAATATGAATCAGACTTGATGTTCTGTAGTGTTGTAGACAGGACGATGATTCATGTGATATCTCTCTTTCCCCTCCTCAGCAAAATTGTTTTTTTCTGGAGTGCTTTCATAAAACTGCAGACAACTCTCAATATACATTATACATCTAATCATATAATTTCTCATATAATTCGGTCAATTTTTCATATACTATGCCCAAGCAATTCTAGCTTTATATTCTTCATAACTGATTTATTTCATACACTAGACTGTAGTTGTGCCCAATTTTATGAGGCGGGATATTAGATACTTCAAAGCTGATCATTCAAAGCAGTCGGTAATTGGTAATCATAACAAAACACAAAGAACGAGAAACAGAATCAGAAAACAACTGGTTTCCTTTCCCTGACCTTCATTGTGTCAAAATTCACAAAAAAATCATAACTAGCTTCAAAAATGTTCCTGACATGTGCAAAAGCTATTTCCCCCTGTATTTAATTTGCAATCAAACCTGAATCATCTGGAGTAATCTAAAATAGCAACAACAAAAAAATGGTGCCTTCCCTTTTCAAATCAAAATCTCCCATTCACAAAGATCAACAGAAATCACTGGTCTAGTACTTACAGTTACGATTACAGACAGATGCAGTAACAAAGCACTCACTTGTGTACTTTGAAGTGGTTCAACCTCAGCAGATCAAAATCGGGAAAACAAAATTTGTGCAGGCAGACGTTTAAACAGTTATCAACATCACCACTCTAATGCATCATGGGGAAACTGAAGGTGGCATTCAACCAGAGGTATGCGGGATGGTTTCAGAAGACCACATAACTCAAATTCCATTCAGTGAACATGACAAATTCATTCCTTAAATTTTAACATATTCTTCTTACTTTTCAGCAAATTAGATTCGACACAAACCATATTTATCCATCTGCTCTAGCAAATTACACATGTAACTGAAAATTGTGGGATCAACTCCCGTTATCAAAAGATCAGTTATCAAGAGAATTCGCCAGCATATGTTTGTTGATTTTTGTGTGGGCAGAGATTCCATGTTCCTGTACCACTTTGGATTAATTTTTTAAAAAAACATTTTATAGTGGTGAAAGATTTATCTTGTCTAATAGAATGTCACAAAAATTTGACCAGTAATCTGTCTTTTTTTTCTTTTATCGATGATTATAGCCATAATCACAATGATGGAGCATCTGGGTTATTTATATAAATAAGAGAGACATTCGTGAAACTTTATAACAGATACATTACCATATTTTCATTGGGCTCCTATTTCCAAAAAAAAAATTAACTCATGTAAAAGTTTTAAAGTCTCGATACATTTTGCTTGGTTGAATTCAACCCCTAGGCCTGAGAGGGTTGTCCCTAAGACCCGGGGGCCGGGGAATTTTCGCACCTATAATGACGTTATCCCCTGCTTACTCTGGTAATCACCCTGTTAATGGAGGAACTCCAGACCCCTTCTACTTTTTAAATGTCCCCTGCTATTTTAATTCTTAGGGACAACCCTGCCTAATAATGAACAGGAATACTACAGAAAGTACTGGAATCTGCTAAACATACTTATAATATCCTCTGAATAAATCTCAATCGACTTGCCCATTTTAAATCTGGCTCTTTTTTTCAGCTACTTATATCCTCTTACTGGTAGCTTTTAAATCTTTTCATTATTTATACATAACATATTCAGATAAAATCTACACTTTTGTACAAAATTAAGAAACATTTCTTACTGTTAATTTTACACCTATTCACAGAGATAAAGGGAAAAAAAATTACTTGCCGAGGAACGTCTACTCCTTTAGAAAGTGACAAAAAGTGTAATAATTGTAACTTAACTCTCCTAAATAAAATACTGAATATATTATCATGTACCAGTATGAAATTCCTCACCTGTCCCCAAATAAACTAGAGCCATTAACCAGCAATTCGACCCTATACACATTCCACTGAAGAAAACAACTTTGGTTAGCAGAAAGACATAAACTTGTAAATAGAAAATCCCACCTATCTCACAATGGGACATGGAAAATGGGAGCTGGTTAAGGCAAAGCCTGTGTTTTGTGTCACAAACTGAATGATCTGTGGTCAATCTGGGTGTAAATGAATATCAACTGTCAATACCAGACATAATACACCAGAGATTTTTCTTGTGGTCAAGATAAAAAATCATAATATTCATAATTTCCTCTCAGCTGAACACATACACAGTGTAATTATTGACTAGCAAATCACCTTTTCATAGAAATATAGATTAATATACTAGTTTTTTGCCAAGGGTTTCAAGATTTTTGATTTGATATTGAATACTGTTGGATATCAAACTTCCATTCCAAATATTTTTAGGTCAACATCTTTAACATCTAAATTTAATATCAGTGAACTTTTTTTCTTGCCTATAGACCTCTTTCTTCATGCATTTAGATGGAGACCTCCTGCGAATGAATTAATTAAAACGATATTGTCCAATTCATTCATCAAAAACAAATTCTTGACAATAAATAAAAATGTGTTGACCTATTTTTCAAAGTGATAATTTTTTTTTCTTCAAATACACACTACATATATAAATACCTCACTATAAGCTCATCATCCTTTCTCATATTTTTTTTTTAACCAAAGCAATCTTTCAAAGTTAAATTCCTTAAAACAAATTATTTCATTTGCATTGCTAATTTTTTTTTTTTAATTTACTACTAAGCTATTATCTGAAGATAAATAGCATTAATTATCTGTCTTATGAATGCCTACCTCACTGATAATCTTCTTGATAAGGTAAGAAAATTCTTCTTCATCAAAATACAGTTCAAACATGTAATATACTGTGATTTACGAAGCTGATAATTTGTGGTTCACAGACTTGAAAAGATTTTAATACATACTTCAACTCAAATATAACCATTGCATTTTCATTGACCTCTAAGAACACTTATTTATCATTTAGACTTATTGATTCCTATCTTTTTAAATAAATGACTTAATGTCTACAATCTAAAGGTATCTTTGTCTAGCTTATCTTTGTTGTACATCTAATTCAATACTTCAATGTACACAAAGAAAGTCAGACAATCACTATTATCATGGGGTGTTACATGTCCCGACCCTTGAATCCTGATGGTTTTCGATATCCCTTTATTATTATGAATTAACTCTTGTTAAAATCATCAACAACAAAAATTCTGATGACTTGTCAGAGATTCAAAGTGCCAGATTGCATAAATTTTTTCTGAAATTAAATTAAAGACCAATATTCTGAATGAAATAATGCTTGAAAAAATTCTCAGGTGACCATTTAAGATTTTGAAACTACAGGTACTGTGAGCATTGAGCACACGAAATGATACCCCCCCCCCCCCCCCCATATGAGTATATTGGCAAAGTCTATGTTTTGGTATGGGAAGCCCCAAATATCTGTCCGGTCAAAACGTAAAATAAGAGGTGCACAATGGCACAATGTGATAAAATGTGAAAGTCTCATTAAATTTTATTCAGTTGCGGACTTGCGGTTAAGAGATGGGAACCCCCAATTTTATAGAAAGAATGGCAGTGTCCATGTTCTGCTATGGGGAAACCCAGAATATCTGTCCGATGAAAACATAAAATAGGAGGTGCACAATGGCACTATGTGAAATAGATTCTGTGGAAGTCTCATTTTAAAAAATTCATTCAGTGGTATAGGAGGAGTTGCGGATAAGGGATAGCTACCCCCAAGTTATGGATGTAGAGAAGGATGTACAGACAGGATATACCCAATCACTTTATACCCCCTCAATTTTCAAGCAAGGTGTATAAAAAGACCAGAGACCCATGGTCTTTCTCAGTCATACAAGTATAATGAGTTCTCGGGCTATGTCCAAATTTGCCCAACCTGTAACTGAGCCTCTGGAATCACATAACATTGATTTTAGAGACAGAGGATTTAGTACTGTACATTTTCACACTGCATGAAGTTTATCTCCTACATGCCCAAGAGTAAAACAACTTTAAATCATATAATGCATGATAGAGTAAGAAAAATACATACATGTAAGGAAAATAATGAATATAAACTATACCGGGTATGTAACGATTTTCAATATCTGACTATAAACTATACCGGGCATGTAACAATTTTCAATATCTGACCAACTTAGCTCCATCCTCTAAGGGACAACTCTGGATCTATAGGAACCAATTAAAGATTTTAATGATTTGTTAGAGGATTAACTACTCATGATAGTCTTGAAAACATTTTCAATGTTTAACCACCTTAACCCCATCCTAACCCATGGGCTATGAATTTCACTATTTTGACAAACTGATGGCTAAGTGTGCATTGTTGTGATGCAAGCTTGATGTCTCTTAAAAGTATAGAGGAAATTTTTTAAAGATTGAATGGATTTTGATGGCTTTAGAGCCTCACCATTCAAACCAAGGGAGCTATAGGACCATGAAATTCACAATTTCTGACCCCCTTCATCCATACATGGTTGAAAGTGGTTCAGCCATTTCAGGAAACAAAAAAAGTTGAAAATGTTAAAAGTTTATTGCACAATGGTTGATGCACAACACAACATTTGACAGGAATCTATACCAATAGGTCAAGCTTCTCAGGTGAGCTTCTCATCTTGCAGATAGTATTGTTCCTTCATTGTAACTGCTACAGTGTTTTTCTCAATGAATCTAAATATTACAAATGTTTTTTGAATAAACCAGTCTGCCAGGAAGCAAAATAGAAAAGGACTATTATGTAATTCTGAATGCAGCTCGGAAACTCATTTCTAGTCGGAGCAATTTTAATTAAGTGGCAGTTCTTGCAGCATGCTACTTATTGCTGGTTCTACTCTGCCTCTGCACACATTTAATAAGCTTTTTTGTAACTCTCTTATTAATTAGCCTATTTTTTTTCCTACTTCTGCTTTATAATTTTGAACAGAAATTTGTCACAAAGGTACTTCAAACGCATGCTTGAAATATGTACAAGAACATACAGTCCCCAAGTTTCTACGTTAATTTGCTAAAAAATGAAGTTTGACAAATTCTTCAGCTGTGTAGTTGTTTCATCAGCATGGCCTACACTGAACCTTTCAAAATTAAAGAACCACATAGCAGTTTTTAACAGCTCCAAGGAATTTAAGTTCTTTCATGTTGCATTCTTTGCCAAATTGTGGAAACGACGGTGATTCACTCTCTTTGTTCAAGATATTCTTAGACAATTATGTTTATTTTCATTTGTGTGCACCAGAACTAATTTCGCAATCTATTTCCGTCTATCTTCTGTCTTTTCCTTACTTACGGTGACAGCTAACAATCTCAACTCAATTCAGACTTAATTTTTTTCCCTCATTTATAAAGCTTTTTTTTTTTTACATAAGAGTCACAGAACATTGAAAATTTAGCAACAGTAGGTGTACAAAAATTTCAGCCAATGTGCAGCTAAAAATTCCTCAGTTGATCTTATTTTGAAAAAAAGTATTTTGGAACACATATTGAAAAATCAAAAAAAAAAAAAAAAAAAAAAAAAAAAGCTGATTGTTTATGAAATCAAAAAAACAACAGGAGCCATGCATCACCAATGAAAAATTTCCACAGGAATTGATGGAGTCTGACTCATATTGTGATGAAACCTTGGGGGAGAGAGCTAAGGCTTTATCTTTAGCACCATATGTTATAGGAGAAAGGATAAGTGGAATATACTGTACTACAACTGATATTTCAGGGTTACTGAGTTTAAGATTATGTTTAGTCTTACACACTACTATATTTTTTAAGATATATTCAAGAACAAAACTACATGTTTCTTTTATCTTCATATGTGAGTGTTCCATCAGTACAAATATTTGTCTTTTGTAATCTCTTGCAATTCTGAAGTTAAATTGTTCCTTCTAATTCAACACACTCTTATAGGTCTACATATTTTTTTGTTCATTCTTTCATTTTTGACATGCGTAATTTCGTTTTTCATTGGAAGAATAAAAAAGAATTTCAAAAATTTGAAAAAAAGATGGGATTCTAAGGAGCAACTCCATTTATATACAAAGGTTGATCAAAAGGTGTCAAATCCTACTGTAAAAAGTAGTGCTTTTTCCTAATAAACATCCATGGGCCTTCAATTTTAAACCCAGCTAGGCTCCAAGAGAGGTCAAGGGTTCATGCTAGCCAAAAATGTTCTTCATATACTATATATAGACACAAAATGTGACCAATGGTGACCAAAAGGACTAGAAATATTCACAAGTCAAGAAATGCTGTAATTTTTTTATAAACTTCACGAGTATCTCGGCATATTTTTGACACATTAATGTTCTATTCTCTGACAGGTAAAACATAAATATAACACCCAGATATTTTGACAGGTTGCATCACTTGATGTATTGAAAAGCTGCATGCATTACCCTGTCTGTCACATGAGAGATGTGCTGTTTTTGCATGATTTTTCAGTGTTATAGCTAAATATAGCAAATCTTCAACATCACACCCTGGTAATAGAATAGTCTGATAATATTAGCTAAAGCAAATTTTTGGACCCACATTGCCAAGTTTTCAGTGCTGGTTATGTAATTTTAACTGCAGATGTTGAGCAAACAACTACAAAATTACCAACTAGCCCGCTTCATTATAATCGCAGCCAAAGTATCAGTTTCTAATATGCCATGTACCAGTTACTCACTAATAAGCTATGGTATTTAAACATCTGTATTATGATGCACTGATCTTTTTTTTTAAATATATAATATTTCTAGAGTCATCAAATCAAAGGAAGTTTAAGCAGGAAATGTTGTGTATGGGTTTTTTTTCCCCCAATAAAAAAAAGTTACACTTTAGATCAATATTTCACTGTCACTTGAAACATAAAATGGTATTTCCTTGACTCAAGTTACATACACAATACATAATAATTAGAGTTCATATCTACCCATCTTTCTGCTTAAGACCGTTATAATACTTACTTAAATCACTGTAATCAAATATCCCTTTCAAAACCTTTAGCAGACAGCATACAAATCATGCCACAAAATAACTAGGTCACAACCTAAGGACACACCCCTTTTCTGAGAGCTGTTCAGAATGTCCAGTCACCTCTTGTTTGTCAACAAGTTAAAAATCCAGGGTCTTATGACAGCTAGATATAATTTCCTTGGAGAAAAGAAAATAAAAAGATCTTCCCTTTACACACAACCAAAGAATCTAGCTGACATGCATCAGAATTGGGGGTACTTGAAACTTACATCTCCAGTGGACCAATCATTTGTGTTTGCAATCTCAGAGGGGTTCCAAATTCTTATCTCCTTATGGAAAAGCAAGAAAAACTCATTTCTCCACAACCAGACTGCTGAGTTAAAAATTCAGGTCACACATTAAGAAATTTGTTGAGCCCATGCAGACCTGCTGAGGCACCCTTAGGGGTGATAACAAAGTTTAGAAAATAACCTTTCTCTTTGAGAACTTCTCACTTAGCCATATTATGCAAGATGTAATTACAGAACAGTTGGTTCTTGAATCTAGGAAGTGGTTTTCTTAGCCTGAAGTAATATGAAGAACCATTTCCTTGCCTTAAAACTTGAGTATTTACTGATGCCTTGCCCTAAATGTACAAGAAAAGACTGATGTATTATTGTGTGCACACAAAGACATGATTATTAGAATACATACCTCTGTTTGTGTGTATTTAAAATGCCCATCCTTGTATATGTGGTTTTAAAATTGTCACAGTCTAAGTATAAAATGTACATTATAATACTTGCTATACTAATACAAAGTGTGCTAATGGGATGGGAGGGTATTTATATCATTAAGATATCATTAATGGAAAGTATTGGACAACTTATATTGATAAAACTTGAGTCTCTTCTTAGACTGCCAGGAATGCAATTATAAACTGATAATTGACATCCTAAGGAACTTTCTCATTTGTAACAAACTCGAAACTTCAAGTCAGTAAATAGTTTGTAAGCACCCAGGCGAAAAATCCTATAACAAAATAAAAACAAACCACTGGTATATATACAGTAATACAAAAATTTTTAAACATTGATTTCTTAATAAGATTATACATTGTTTTCTGTGTTTTTACACTGAAATCACAGAGAAAACTGAAACACATATGTTCCCAGAACATATTTCTTGAAAAAAAATATGAAGCTATTGGGTTTTTTTTTTGTAGGTCTGTTTGTGAGCTGAGGAGAGAATTCCCCTTATATCTCACCGATATCTCTGCTGACTAGTCATTCCAACAGAGACAGAAAGAAATGGATTGCTGTGATAAGGCTCTGAATCTGCTATATTGAAGAGTTACCTCCCTGCCAATAAACAATAAGCTGTCCAAACACCCTCTTCATAGATAAGAGAAAATTGAGCAAATGTAACAGAAAGACCATCCAATATTAGAGTAAATGTATAATTATTATATTTAAGCATCCAAGATACATGGTATTTGGCAGAAATTGATTTTTCAACACTTTAGCGTAGACTTTTGATTTTGAGCATTTCTGAATCTATAAATTCCTGTATATATATTAAAAAGACATTTAGGAATGCAATTGGTTTAGCAGAAGCTGTTTTCCACCAAATGGCACCAAATAGAATACACATCCAAATGTATTACATTTACAGTTACTGTAATACATATAGATTCAAGAGGTCTTGGAAAAAATAAAAGCAATCAAAGTTAATCAAATCATTCTTTTTCTGATGTAGTTAAAACAGATCTATTCAGAGGAATATCATGGCAAATAATTCACTTTATGTCGTGGTTGTAGTCACCCAATTGAATACATTACAAAGTCTCCAGTTTTCAACATTATCAAGGGCAGTAACTCTTCTCATTTGGGTTATGCATTGTTAAAACATTATGTTTTTACTCATTTATTGCTTGTTATATCATTACAATGCAAGAACTTTATTCCAATTATTATTTTAAAACTGCTAAAAGAAATAAATTACCAAAAAGTACTGTAGAAAATTTGAGTAGCAGCAGTTGTTAAATTATTGTCAGGTTAAATTCAAAACTCCCAGAAAAGTGACACATTTCACATTTATACAATACATGTATGTCAAAAGTGATAGAATAACATCCATTATTTTTACCTGTGTATCAAAGTTAAATTCCCCCAGTAAATCCATCCCTGATCCTCCTTTAGCATCTAGGGGGGATGGGCTGCCAAAAGGGTCAAAATCGTCAGTCATCTGGTTAGATGTTGACTTAGAATCCCCAGTGCTGGAGTCCCCAAAGTCTAGTAGTGAATCAAACTGAGATGCCATCATTCACCTGCAATTAATTAATGAATCATCACCTCTCTGTCCATTAATGACGTCTCAAGGGACGTACTTATACGGCAGTGAACTATAGGGAAGTGCAATATGAGAAATAATTAAATTTATGGTGCCATGATGTCATTATAAACTCTCTTAGTCTTTCAAATGAACATTGACAGAACTCAAATTAAATTCTGTAATTATTTTTTTTCCACAATTATTAATTTTTCTGAAAAAAGGGAATTAACTCTTATAAATGCTTCATTCACCCCAGTAGAGTAAATGATTACTCATTTCATTTGTTGAAGTGCAACTTCAGGAGGAAATATCATTCGATCCCCCTTAATCATCCCCTCTCCCTCCTATGAACAATAATTGCTTGTTTATGCTAAGTCTGAGGCATGTTACAGACAGAAATCGGAACATCTGATCACACATCAGACAAAAGCATGCCTACAAACACAGATAAATTCTCAAAACTTCAATTTATTATTTTCTCTGACAAAATTCCCCGGCAGTCTGCCAAAAATGTCTGATTTCTCTTCAAGCAAAAAAAAGAAATGGGTAAATGGAGGAAATAAAATAACAAAACTCCAAAGCCTTCATCTGCCAAAAATATATATTCTTCCTGTGAAGCAATTATAAGGCTTATTATATAATACGTATTACATTTCTACATCTGAAGCTTTCGCTAACAATAATAATTAAGTGACGGAAAGAGTATGCCACAATTGGACTTTCTTGATGGTCAGCAATCAAAAAAATTGGGCAATATGATGGAAGTCATTAACCCGCTAATTGCTACACAACAAGAACATTACCAGTGATTGTAAATGGAAAGTTTCAAGGTTATCTATACTAACTGTTTTTCATAAACACACACATTATTGTTTTGATTAAGAGTGAGATACATGTACAAGCATACTGGGGTCTCTGGCTTTTCTCACATAAATCATAATTCTACACCTAGCAGACAAACTTACTACAAGTCATTATAGTGAGAATTCTGTAAGAATCATGTTAAAGTGACACAATGTGGTAAAGCTGGCAAAGAGTTAAATAGTTCCTGGACCTGGCAGAAAAAATTAAACCCAAAGACTATTCAGAATACTCACTTTAATCAAAAATTCAACTGCATCTGTTCAAACCCTTTAGATCAAAAGAAACATTTTTCTGCACAACATTTTCAAATGTGATATAAAAATATGTGACAAATTTTCAAAAATCAATCATGTGTATACTAAATTAATATGACAAATTGTTTAAGTGTATCTTCAAATGGCTGTCAAGGCAGATGACTTAAAACTGACATTTTTCATACTAACTGTTAGGCCATTATTTACACACTAAATTGTCTACGGATTTTTCCATTTGCCTGATCTTAACAAGGAGCACATGGCAGGTGTGAACAGTCAATAGGGGATGCTTACTCCTCCATGGCACCTCATCCCCCTCTGATGCTTTTAGAGGCCTCTGTTTGTCCCGCTCCCAATTTGTATTATATTTCAATGGACTTTTGAGCTTGATTACTGTTCATTACCTCCATATTTCATTCATAATGACATATGCCTTTTCATAACAAATCTTTCCTTTTCCAATTTCCTCATTTGAAGGAGTTATGAAAATGTTGAACAAAATGTATAACAAATGGGAGTTTGTTTCCATTTTGACAAGAAGTTAATTGACACAATCTATAGCGTTAACATCCTGTGGCCCTTCAGAATCCCCTATATATTTATATAAACACCAACAAGCATGGAAAGCATCTCATTAAACACTCTGTAGGCTGTTTTTGTATTTTTGCCTCACCCATCTCTGTGATATAAACTACAAGACTAGACTCTGTATACTATATTACTAGTAAACTCATAGTATTGAATAATTACCTGCGTGAATATTTGCCATTAAACAATTAATAATTAAAATTGTTAAAAAGAGCTCTCTGTATACATGCATGAATCACAAATTCTTCTATAGAATATTTGAACAAGTTGATAAAATCAATAAAGTGTTTTCACTAGGTAACTTATTGCTTTTTCACTCCAATTTTAATACAAATTCGTATTTCTATGCAGACAATTTTCTCCTTAAACTCTTGAAAACATCTTTTGTAACCTTCCTTAATCTTAGTTATTGTGGAAAGTACAGCTATAGGCTAATAATAAAGACATTTCATAAGGAAATTTAATCGTTAGTCACCTGAAAAATTATAATATCATAATGCCCTTACCGAAATAATATAAAGACAATTCCCCAATATAATTCCAAGAGGGGAAGCTGTCCTTCCTCACAGTGTACCAGAGGCTATAACCTAAAGTTGTCCTGACTCGGAGGAAATTATTGACCAGTCAACTGAACAATGGAGGTCTGATTCAGCAAGGCTTGCACATTCTACAAACAAAGAGAAATTAATGTGTAATTTTTTTTTCACTCTTACACTTGTCTTTCATTGATGCCCCGTCAGACTAAACCAATTAACAGCCAGACAGGGGTCCCAGGATCCCCCTCCTGATGATCTGATAATGTCTAACTGATTCCTATAGTCACCCCCCTATCACTCACAGATCTCTTAAACAGACGAAAAAATTACTGAATTGGTTCAACATGACATTTACTTCCTTTTACTCAGCTTGCATTAAAAAATACATAATTCAAATATGTATGCACCTGTACTTTCATAATCCAAAATGAAAATAAAACTTGTCTTATCGAAAAATAAAATTGCTCTTTAATGAGTCAGGACACCCAAACATGCCAAATTCGACCAATGGATTATCATGAAAATTTCAATTGATAGTCTGCAAGAAGTATTGATTTTTTCTTCTCTCTCTCTCATTGACTCATGTTGACTCTATGTGACTAATTGAAGGATGGCACCCCCTGAAACTCAATGGTAAGGCTCCAGAACCAAATGTTCCTAAATGATTAGCAGTCATTGGAGGAAAATCAGCTGCTCTGACAATCTGAGATGGATTTTAGGGGAATGGAGAAGGATATGACTCATAATACATGGGTGTTCACACCTTTCATTTTAAAGAATAAAACATATAAACTTCAAAAGAATCTCCTTTTATTTACCCATCAAAATGACATAAGATTTTTAAAAAAATTCACTTTAGTGTAACTAATCAAAATGAGATAAGATTTTAACACTTTCTCCAATTTAAAAAAAAAAAAAAAAAAAAAAAAAAAAAAAATTCCAGGTATTTAAGTAAAAAGATGGTCAACTCATGTTTCTATTCATTGTAGGCTTGTTTGTATATTAACAAATGCTTGGATATTTATCACTGACTTTCCCTTCTGGAATTAGCGGGGATGAACAAATTGATTAAATGTTAACATGGATTATATCCTCTGTGTCTGAGGGAAACCATATGTCACAGTAATATCTAGTCCTGGCACTATAGGGGAAGTAAGCCTTGTACAATTTCAGCATAGAATGGTGCTGTAGTACAATATGAATACAGCAGATGCAAAGATATATATATTTATCCCACCTCTGTTGATTTTTCGATGAAATCCTGGCTTACGATTGGTTGAAGTCTGTCATGTGAAGGGGGTGTATTACTTACACCTAGTCACTTGAAAATCAATACATGGTCGATATGGAGTTATCGTTCCTTTGTAACGTTCAGAACAAGTCGAGTTCACGCTATTTGCCGAGTGTCTGTTAACAATTTAACAGTTAACTAATGTAAGTAACGAAGATGGAACCTTTTCCTTCCTCTACTGAAAGTCTTCAAAACTGTCAGTACGTTATTACAGCACGAAATACTCGCAAACAACATTACGTCACATAACGTGACGTCATAATAGGCATTGTATGAGTGATGAAACGTATAATTATAATGTAGGCCTAGTGAGAAAAACAATTTTACAAACCACAGGCAATGCATAAATATTTTATCGGTGGGGTAAATTCGTTACATAGTTTTGTAGTGACAGGGTACGGGATGATACCTGGTTAGTAAATTCCATACCTGGCTCGGCTTCGCCTCGCCAGGTATGAAATTTACTAACCAGGTATCATCCCGTACCCTGTCACTACAAAACTATGTAACTAATAATACTTACACACAGATGCAAAGATATATATATGTATATACTTACACACATATTTTCACTAACAGTATACACTTTTTTAATGTACATTTTTTTATTTAATGAACATTTCTTTATTTGTACTGACATGTTAAAACTTAAGAGTACATTGTGTTAATATATTCAAAAAAATCAAAATGTATATAATTATAGCTATATATGAATCATAAATATATATCATTTATGTAGGAATATATTTGTGTGAACCTCTGTCAGCTTAAAGATTTGAAGGACCATCTATGTAAGCAAATGAAAAATTATTTCTGGACATTAAAGTGTATAAATGTGTAAACATTGATTTTATCTACTTCATTTTCAACATGGTGTACAAGCAAATTACCCCAGGTTGAGTAAAAATGTTCATATAGATGAGCAGAAATAACTGTCACTTGACTAGCGTAAATGGGGAAAGCGTGTGCAAATTTATTATCTTAGCATATTCAAAAGCTAAAAATTATTTGATTGATTACAGAGATTGAGTAAATCATTGTGATTTCAATTTATCTTTTTAAAATATTTTATTTTAGAACTAAGGACAGATTACTTTAACTGCATAAAATGCTATGGAATTAGAACTGCTTGGTCAACTATTGTGTATTGCAGTATTTATAAGGTACTTAATTCCACTAAAACTTAGGAATCACAAAGTTTTGGATTATGAATTCAACTCAAAATCCAACATGAGTCAAACTGGCTAGCTCTTAAGGCTCCCAGTAAATATTATAATCTCCCCTTGAAGTCCTTTCAAACAGACTCAAATCGCATACAAAATATCTTTTTGAATCACTCTATTTTAATGTGTTTCCTTTGAGTCACAAAGGTGAAAATATACACTACACATCAGCCTAGAAATGCATGCACATGTCTTAACACATGTTAACTACTTTCCCGGCTCACCATCATATGCACGACAACCGGCAATCCTCGGCTGACTCCGCCACGCTCGTGTGAGGCACGAGTCAGAGGAGCTCCGAATGTCCGCGAAGCGCTTCGGTGCATTGGGTTGGTCTAATTTCAGTACTTAATGGAATTACTAACCTAGGGAATATGTTATTAACGTTATATATAAAACAATTTCAGTTACAGAAAGAGGGCACTTCCTTAACAAGGAAAAAAGGGGTTTTGTGGGGCTCAACCATTAGGATTGGTTTCCTTGAAGGGTCTTAGGGAGCACATGATATTTTTAACTGTACTCAATATTTTTTTATGGAAAATTTTTATTTGCATCATAAAATTGTTATGTAAATATTAAAACTTAAGCATACAAGTTTTAGTATATTTAAATATTGATAATAAATCTACAAGTCATCATAGTTACTGTGTTAGAAATGTTGGAGTGTGCGCAATTTGTAACCGGTGAACCGGTTGCTCGGTTGGTACGATGGTAATCGGTTAGACAATTTGTAAAAGGTCACTCGATAATATTAAAATATGTTATTTGAAGGAAATTTCCTTAAAATTCAATTTACAAAAAAAATCTTAACATATGTAAGCCATCATATATCCATTAATTAGTGCTCCAGGCTCTGGATTGATGGTGGGATTTATTGGTCAGTTTTTGTGAAATATTTGGAGATAACGAACAGTATTCAGCCTCAAAAGTCCATTAAACAATACAAATTTTGGAGCAGAGCAAACACGGACCTCTAAAACATCAGAGGTGGGATCAGGTGCCATGTAGGAGTGACCATCTCTTGCCGACCGGTGTTTTAAAATCACTGTTTAAATCCCTTGTATTTCTTTGATGATATTATTTAATTAAATCACCGTTGAATACTGTGAACTGATTATAATGACTGTGTATCTTACCCCGTCTATCTATCAAATCATATTGTAAATTAAGTGATAGTTCAGATTAATTTCTGATAGAGGTTACAATTAATGCAGCATGAATTGTGTGACATCTGGTCCGAAAAATTACGATTAATGCCTCTGATATTTCAGACAAATTCATGGTTTTCTTACCGTTTTCTTTGCCTACTGAAATTGAAATAAAATATATAAATCGTATTCTGATCAAACATAAAAAAATTATCACTAAATAAATGTCTTTCTAGCCATCTTAATTATGTACACGAGTAGTGCTTACCTGCAAAAATATGTCCAAAAATGTGTATTTTGATATGATTAACCGATTAATCGGTGGGAAATCTTGCAATATACCGATTGTCAATTCTGTATTTGATTGCCATCCCTATAGTTATTATAAATCTAAGTTGAGAACAACGTACGCAAAATCCAACACAAGTCCTTTTATGAAACAGGGCTCACAAAAGTATTGTAATCTCCCTTGAAGTCTAAAAAGGTGTCGAATTGCAGAATTTAAAACATCTGCCTAGAACTAGGCACCTGTCTCAAATCATTTCAAGGTCATTATTGAGGGGACACAACCGTATAAGAGCCGGGAAGGAGGCATGACCGTGTGCCGTACCTATATATCCTGACCAAAGCTTATAGTCATTCGAAAAGTGTGCGAATTTTAAAACCATGCATTAAATGCATTGCGATATTATTATTTACATTTAATACACTGGTCGAAGCTTACATGTATGTATAGAGAGAGAGAGAGAGAGAGAGAGAGAGAGAGATTTAATTTAGTATATCTTTTAGTAATTCAGGGCAAAGACACCCCCTTTCCCTTTGAAGTGGAGGATCGAGCATGAAGTCAGCCCCTTGCCAAGCTGCCATCCAAATTAACTTTTAAGTTGTTAAACAACCCAACCATCTTTGAAATATTACAGTATTGTATACACCTTGTATACTCGAGGTACAATATTTTCACGATGTTTCCTCTATCTGCGTCTGTGTATATGATGATATGAAAATTACGTACATTTGCTATTAACAATATTGTTTCGACTAACAGTAGTCAGGCACGTAGTATCGGAAGGGGGGGGGGGGGGGTTGGCCCCCCACTTTTTTCCAGACATAAGTTTTTCTATAGGAAATGTACATTGAAAGTCCGGTTGGCCCTCCAACTTTTGGTTGCAGTATTGTCAAATAAGGGCAATATAAGGGGAATGCAGTGTTTGAGTAAAAAAAAAAAAGGCACTAAAAGAAGTAGGAAATGTTCATTGAAAGTCCGGTTCCCCCCCCCCCCCCCACTTTTGGTTGCAGTATTGTCAGTAGATAGAACGTTCTAGCGTTAAAATGATATTGTCCTACGGACCCGGTTTAACTGTGGTGAGGGCTTGTCCCGAGACACAGTTAGATTATTCTAACTATATTGTCAAATAAGGGTAATATAAGGGCAATGCAGTGTTTGAGTAAAAAAAAAATGGTACTAAAAGAAGTTGGAACACCCCCCCCCCCCTCCCCCACGAAATAGGATTTTCGAGTTTGCACAATTTTCCTTTTTTTTTTTTTTTTTTTTTTTTTTTTTTTTTTTTGCTTGTCAAGTTTTTTCAGGTAAGTTGAAAATTTTTTCCTCGGGTTGCCCCCCCCCCTTTCAAAACCGATGCTATATGTACGTCACTGAGCAGTGTGTGTTATGAGGAAAAAAAATGTAAACTATAAATTGTCCCACAACGAGTCACAAATTGTGCGAGCATATGCTGAATTAAAACTAAAAGAACTCATAAAGATAGAGAAAATGTTGCAAGTGTCCTCTATTTCATTAATTTTTAAAAGGCACATTATTTAGGGAAAAAAAAATCTTCCATGTTGCTAAGCAATATACATGTATATATTTAGTGTCAAACAAAATATTTAAATCAATTTGGAAAATGGATATAATCATAAATAATATAAAAATAAGGAATATACCTGATCGCATACGCCCATGTAAAGATCGAGATAAATCTGCACATATTTACGACAGAGTGAACTTTCTGATAACAAGTTCAGAAGTGATAAAATTTTAAAGGCCTTTAGTTTGATTCCCCTGTGTGATAGTAAGTGGACTGTAATTAAATTTTTGTGGATAAATAAACTTGTCATAAATTGAATATCTGGGGATGATAACTAAACACTTTCGATTCTTAACAACCAATATGAGTTGTTGACAGTGTGGTCAAGATTTCGAGTGTTAAATTCTTCAAAATGTCAAGAAGTTATGGATTAAACAACAATATTAGCCACCTTTTCTGATGGCTCATGTGCTGCGATAATATATTTTGGGAACGCTTATTCTACATGTATGGTGTTTTCTATTTGATGATCGAATTGCGATGATTACATGAGAGAGCCCTAAAAAATGTGGGGCCCTGATGCCGGAAAACAATGTCTGTAGTCTTGTGTGCATCTTTAGAGCTGAAGTCCATCATAGAGAAAATCTAAAGACACTGCAGTTCTTTCAAAGACCTGTTTTGATCATTTTGCAAACTGTTTTAATTTCTGATGTCTTTTTTCTAGAAATACCTATCAATTTAATGTCTTTTTTTCATATCCACCTTCCCGTATAAATATTTGACAACAGCGTTTCTATAAAGTTAACACTTTGTATTATCATAAATTCAATATTCATACTCATTAACCCCCACCCATCCCCCTTTCCAATCTAATCACGTTCATAGGTGCTTGAGGACAGGACTCCCCCCCCCCCCCTCAATATAGACCCCCGGGCCTTTTCGACTTTTTTTTCATAAATTATCTTTTAGTAACATATTTGTGATATAATCCATACAATCAGCCCGAAAAATTACGAAAAACAAACATTTTATAAAAATTCCCCACTCTATATATAAAAAACGTTGGGGGGGGGGGGAGTCCTGTCCTCAAGCACCTATGATCACGTTGTTACTAATTTGATTACAAAGACGTAAATCAAAATTATTAATATACAGAGCCCTTAAGTGACATAGCTAACTTTAAAGCTTACATGAACCTTTAAATATCAACCAATGAAACATGAATCCCTTGCAGACCGTCAAATACTTGTATAATTTGTTAGAGCTATCAGTGGATACTGCCCATTTGAACTTTTCCATACTATACAACATTTAAAAAAAATATTTTATTGAAGGTCATTTATTCTTGGTATATGAGATAGTTCAATTCCTACAACACCCCGTGACATACACGATTTTTTTTCTTTCTTGGCAAAACGCGTGGATATTTTTTTAACATTCTCTTGAATGAAATATGAAGATAACGAACAGTATTCAATCTCCAAAGTCCAATGAAACAATACAAATTTGGAGCAGAGCAAACACGGACCTCAAAATGTAGAGTTGGGATCAGGTGTCATGGAGGAATGAACATCCCCTGCCGACCGGTAACACCCGCCGTGTGCTCCTTGTCATTATCGAAAAAAATCCGTAGACAGTTCAATGTATAAATTATGACCTAATAATAAGTATGAAAAACGTTAGTCAGCATTTGACTCAATAATAGGTTGTATGTGCTGACAAGGTCATTGTATCGACCATAAAACTTGCGAAATGATGACTTCAAACGAGACTGTTGATATCCTTGTTTCATCAACTTGTTTGTCAATAGCTTTTCTCGTATTAAGAAATTGTCCATACGTAGAGCATGCTCTTGCGTATCGAATCAACTGAGAGACAGAAACCCCATATGCAGATGATAAGGGTATATTGCTACATAAGTAAGGGAAGTTGACGATTGAAAAGTTGAAGCCATGACGTATTCGGAACATCTAATTTTAATTAGATTGGATGTTATTGATTTTAGTAAAATTTTGTGAATATGAAGGGCAATGTATATCGTAACAATTGATTTCTGAAAACACCTTTCACAACACTAACACACAAATATAGCACAATCCTTTTTTTCAAAAATGTTCATGAGAAGGAGTTTCAAAAAGTGTTATACCGTATGTTAAAAGTGGTTATCACCGAATATCCATTGAAATACCATTGCAGTAAATGGACACCTGTATAAAATAAAACTAAAATTAAGGTCAAGATCTAGTAAATTAGTTTATAGACCGTCTTTTTGGTGCTAGATCCATTATGACGTCATAAATGATTAAAACTTATTTTTTACAGGTACTTTACGACTATAATAGAATTTCATGTATGTAGAAAATGAAGCATTATTTCAAAGAAGATCGATGTCGTGAAAAACCGTTTTCTCAGAGACTGTGGGCAATATTAATGCATTTCCTATATCTGAGATGGAAAAAAACTCCCATATCTATACCAGAGTTTTTTCATTTTTCATTGAAACTGGCAGTTTAAAGCATGTTTCTTCGTTGAGCTTTCAAAAAAAATTATGTCCCGATATACCGGTACATCCAGGTACCTATATACTAACTAATAGATATACTTAGTATATATAGGTCCCTGATACATCCTATTTTTACCAAGCTATATTTGTATAGGAACATTAAAAGAATTGGTTTCTGATCAACCTATAGGCATCTTTTATTTACTAGATCTTGACCTTAAGCTACTGATTAATATGTTTTCAATTTGTAGCGTATTAAGTAGTAAGTGAAGCAGACAGGTTGTGCACACCTCATTTGCAACTACTTTCCGGAACACATTATGCATAGCGACCCGATTTTTAGACACTCCAAGAAACTGGTTCCCAAATTTAACACATAAAAAAGACCAGTTTATCGATGAATAGGATGCCGCGAAGATTTTGGTTACAAAGTGGTGGTATGGTATAAGGTGACAATGCTTTAAAATGGTGAGTGACAGACAAGGATAAAGTAAAAGCGATATGCTAATTTTAAAAAGATTCTTTTTCATGTGATGTGATGAAAAATTACCGTTTCTCAATGATCTCTGAAATCGTGTCTGAACAAACTCGAACTGTATTAATAAAATGCACGAATCGTTGTATCTCGCCAGATAAGAATAGCTGCTCTGAATGATAGCAGCAGTGGATTTGATGATGACGATGCCAGGAGTAAAGCAGTCGGAACAAGGGAGGCTGAGGTATACCCTAGTTAAAATTACTTTACTGTTTCTTGGGACGGCCCTTCTTTCATATTGTTTAACCCCATCATTACACAACTCCTTCACTTTGAAGAAACTCCCCACAGTTGATAAAGAAATGTGCCATTTTTTGTATGCTTAAACTCTTCAATCAAATGTTGAACTAAACATCTGTTTTTGGTGTGACCGTTGGGGTGAGCACAATTGTATACATCAAAAACAGCGTGAAAAGTTTATGCAAACACTTTTAACTTTGATCTGCCTCTTCAACAAGCACGAAACATTAGGAAGATTTAGACTGTTACATCACATTTTGTCATATATTTGTTGCATTTCCATAATGGAAGCTAAACATTGTAAATTTTTAACTTTTATTTTGTTTAAAAAGCTTTTAAGCATTGTAGAGTACATGTAGATGCAATTATTTTTTTTTAATTCCTTTAATGCTGTCTTTAAGAACTAAATCTACGCAATATCTGTGGTACTGTCATGCAATTCATCATTATAGCATGAAATTATGGTAGAGAAAGAATTCTTGGAAGGTTTCACACAAAAATCTGCTTGACAATGTGCAGATTTCAGTTCCAATTTTGTCTGTTCTTACACATTAGTCTTTTTAGCTTGCTTTGCCAGGGGCACCTTGCTATAATGGTCAAGTTCAAGATTTTGTGAAAAATAGATTTGGTTATAATACACCCAAATAATCTATTTTATTTATCGTGTTATGTAAAATCAATAAACACTTTTCCTTTTATGGAGTAAAATATTGGTATCTCTGACATGTGTCTCCATGCTCATTTGTTACTGATGAATCATTCTTCAAATGTTTTGAAAATAAACATTTAATTTTCATGGTTTTATTAGAATTTGTTGGAAAGGTTCAAGCACTTAAATGTGAGAAAATCAGTTGCTAAACCTTGTGTTTATTTCTGATTTTAGTCCCTTACACAGAAAACTTCCATGAAGGTTAGGCAAAAATCAATAGTAAAAGTTCATAAAGGTGGTTCTGAAATCCCAAAAATGTATGGGTAGTTAATAAGCATTACTTGTTTGTATGATATCAGAAAATCTCATGTCACCATCGTTGAAAGTCATGAAGAGATGTCATAACATCAGAATTATCAAGAACAACTCCTAGTAATAATTGTCAGTAACATTAAAATTCTTTTTGCATATTTTGAAGCAAAAACATTTTCATATTTCATAATTCATATTTTGTTATGAATTTTGCTACTGAATAAGTTGGAATTTACTGTAATCAGTAGTTCTAGTCTTTTTTTTTTCATAAGAAACAGAGTGTCCAACTTTTTCTGTTTATAGGAATCAGAAGCTTACACTTTGTACAACAAAGCCCTGGGACTTCAAAGACAAGATATACAGAAAGCAGAGGAGGCATTTGAGCAACTTCTAAGTCATGGTTTCATCAGAGAGGTATTTCATTAATAATAATTAATTGAAGTTCAGTTAAATAACAGTGTTCAAAACAGATGTAATGCCTTATTTTCATGTATTTTGAACATGTATTTTTCTAAGCTAAGCATATGATAGGCTGCTGAAAGGCCATTTCAGTGTTAATTTTTATACTGATACATTGAATAAACATTAAATTTGTTTTGTAACAAAACAGGCAGCCAAACTCATTGAGACGGAGACTGTGGGGATCACACACCCTGGACTTCAGCTTCTGTACTCCATCTACAAAAATCTGGCTGCCATGTCCCTCCAGAAGGGGGACCATGAGGAGGCAATGGAGTGGTACATAGAGGTAAAGGTTCAGGAGGACCTGGTCTTATTTTGACTTGTTAGAAAACTTGTACTCTGGTATGATATTCCTGTGTGTGTGTTTTTTTTTCTTCTTCAGGCAGTCAAAGTTGATGAATCAGAAACAACTGTCTGGTACAAGATAGGAACAATAGCCCTGAAACTTCATAATTATCAACTTGCCAGGCTAGGATTTGAACAGGTATGAGACAAACTGACTGTACAGTAAAACACGCTTATAGCAAACATGCTTATAATAAATTGACACTTACAGATAAGTGATTTTCATTCCCTATGACTTTAAAATGTATTGTAAACTTAACCGATATAATGAATTAAGCTTATAACGAAGCAAAATCGTCCATCCCTGGCACTTCATTATAAGCGTGTTTTACCTTATACAGTATTTGGAGATCTTATAGAGTTATAGATTTAAAAAAAAAGTGAATCTTGGAGAAAGATTGTACAATGAAAAGACTCAGGAATGGGACAAATTCATGTGCATAATGGGCACTTAAGGCTTTTTTTCTCCTTTTTCAGGGTCTACAGTGTAATCCAAACCACTGGCCATGCCTGGACAATATCATCACAGTTCTTTATACCATTAATGATTACTGGTGTAGGTTTGATAGTTTTGTTTTTTTTTTTGGGGGGGGGGGGGTGTTTTCTATTGTATGAGAATTGTCATATTCTGGCACAAGTAAAGGCAAAAGCAAGAAAAGAAACTCATCACAAAAGAATTCACAGATACATGTACTTTATGAAGTAATTTTCTAAATACATGTGTATAAACATAGAAATGGCCATGAAATATGGGGTCTGTTGAAAATGAAAGTTACATGCCATTCTTTGTCAAAATATCCAATACTGAGGCTCTGGAGGTCACTTGTATACATGTACCATATATAGAAGTCTTCCTTATTGGAACTTTTCAGTTAACTGCATGTAAGTCCCTGCCTCTTCAATCATGATTTTCAGATTGCCTGTACTACATATCCAAGGCTTTGAAGAAAGACTATTTGTACCCCAAGGGAATTGTTTTCAGGAATCAAATTCATAAGGAACAACCATCCCTGAAAGAGGCTACACAAGAAATGTTTAAAGAATGGTAAGATTAACGTTTTGAAATAAAAAATAAAAATAATTTATGAAACTGATTATAAATCTTATGCTATTCTACAATGCATTGGTATTGGAACATGGAAATACTCGAGACAACTTTGAAATTATTGATGCTTGTTTTTGATTTATAGCAATTCACTGATTGATACAGAGAAAGTGGATCAAGAGGAAATAGATGAGGTATATGATAATTTTTAAAATGATGAACTTGTTCTTCAAGAGGATCCCAAGGTCATGTGCAGATTTGACTTATCTTTCCTTTTGAAAACGGAACATAATTTTTTTTTTTAAATACCAGTATAAGGTCTTCAAATTCTTAAGCTTTATTGTTGATTCCACAGTATGTGAATGAGGCATTGAAGATGAGACAGAAAAGAAGAGAATTGGCCAGAACTCCCCCAATGAAGCCCAACAAACTGCCAGTTCCTGTTAAATCGTATACGTAAGTCACAAACTGTCAGTTCTTTTTAAATCATATACATAAGTAACAAAGCCCCAGTTCCTAATAAGTCTTATTAGTCCCCTACCGGTGAAACCGGAGGGGACTATAGGTTTCCTCTGAGTCTGTCCGTCCGTCTGTCTGTCTGTCTTGTCCGTCTGTCTGTCTGTCCCTCTGTCTGTCTGTCAGTCTGTCCCACTTGGTTTTCCGCACTTTTTTCCTAAACGCTTGCAGATATTGAGCTGATTTTTGGTATGTGAATGTATCTTGATTAAGTACAGATCAAGTTTGCATTTCGTTCCGCTTCATTGATTTTTGACAGAATTACGACCTTTTCAATTTTTAGGGGTTTTCCGCAATTTTCTTCTAAACGCTTTCAGATATTGAGCTGATTTTTGGTATGTGACTTTACCTTGATTAGTTAAAGATCAACTTTGCATTTCATCCCGCTTCATTGATTTTTGATGGAATTATGGCATTTTCAATTCTTAACGGAACCAGATTACACTTGCCGGTAGGGGACTAGTATTGCTAATGCAATACTCTCAGAATGCTTGTTTTTAAGGTATGTCACTCGTGAAATTAGTTATATCAAGGATTTTTTTGGGAAGTATATTTTAGATAAGTACTCATACAGCATGACTCAAAATCGCAAAGAAAATGGGGGGTCAGTGTGCATCTTACTGAGCGACGGTACAATTAAGTTGACCTTTTTGCACTTAATTTGTAACTCTTTGGTTAATCACTTTAATCTTGATCATATTTTATCAGATCGGTAATTATGGCAGTAAATATATCTTATTTTATGTAAAATTGTTTGAATAACATTTATCATTGAACAAATCATGCAAATTAATGCGCATAAATTATTGTGTGACCTTTTTGCACTAAAAAGTATCACATTTGGGGTATAAAATATCTAAAGAGACAATTAAATATTTTCTTGTATCAAACTTTTTATGACTTAAGTGCTGATCGGTTGGAAGTATCGTGTTGTTTAAAATAATGAAAGAAAAAGTTGGGGTCAGTGATGTAAATTTTGAGATATTGGTCAAAATGTGCAATTTTCAGACAAAAAACGGTGTAAATTTTATCTTGACTCCCTTAATATATCTTCATTTCTTGGCAAAGTCTGTTGAGTGAATGTGTAAAATTTGTTCTAAAAATATAAATTGAGACCTATATTTAATATTTCTATCATATCATAAAGGAAAATATTCTTTAAATAAAAATATGTGGGGCTGAAGTTCCAAGATATTAAATTTAACAAATGTGTAGATTTGAAGAATTTTCTTCAAAATATCCTTCCACCACAAGAAATAGTCCCTCATAAATCTTGTTTCTTTATGAATTTATGAGCAGTTTTTTAATTGAATGTTGAATAATTTGCATTGTTTGATTTAAATATGTTATAAAAATTGAATTGTAATAAATAGTTTTGAAGTTAAAGGTTCTGACTGAACTATTCTAAAAAGCTTACGAGTGACATACCTTAAGTCACATACTGCCAGTTCCTGTAAAATCATATATGCAAATTACAAATGGAAAGTACTTATTAAATCAATAAATCTTATATGTAAGTTACAAATCGACAATTCCTGTTAAATCATACACGTAACCTAAATGCCTGTTCTTATTAATTAGTGTTACAAACTGTCAATTGCTCTTAAATCATTAAATGAAAGTTCCTCTTAAATTAATCATGAGTTATTTACTGTGGACTTGTGTGAAATAGCAGATTCTATATGTATTCTCTTTTGATGTTTTATATCAGATGGTTGTCCTTGGGTGAAAGCTTGATTGCTTTATATGACAACATTAAGAAAGCCACCCCACCAAAGGTCAGTTAAATCTTACTTCTGCATGTATGTCCATATAAAACTGTTCAAACAAAATAAAGAGTTCTAAACATTTATAAAAGCATTAAGTTTATTTTTAAACATTCTGTCTTCTTTTGCAGAGTTTGAGTATCAGAGTTGACTTGAGTGACTATGCAGTAGATAGAAACAAAAGTCATGAAACCAAAAAGGAAGAAGTGCCAAGTCAACCTGCAAGTTCCACAATTTCATCAGAATTGCCTCCAGCTGTGGAAAAAATGGATGTCTCAAAACCTGAGGAAATGGAGGTTGATCACACTGCTGTGACAGAAACGTTGACAAACGTTATCTCTACTGATAGTGTTTCTGACACTGTTGTCAATTCTACTGCTGTGACTGCCAGCAGTGAAACTGCTCTAGTTCCAGCACTGCCCACTAGTGACAACATCGTTGTTACCAGTACTGACACTACAACTGCTGCTCCAGAAAGTGTAATCCTTGTGACCTCTGCCACTCTGACCTCTGAACCAGAGAATGTAACTGTAACTGTGACCTCTGAACCTTCAGCTCTGGAGGTGTCAAATTCATTCCCAACTTTGTCTGCTATTCCCATTTCAGGTACGCTAGACATGGAAATTTGCACACGATGGTAATTTAACATGAACACAGTAAGAAATCTTTTGCGTAAACATTACCCCTCGTACCTATTCTTTTCACATATTTCTTTCATTTTTAACTGTTGTAATGTATTATCTTGGTATCATGGAAATAATCCCCAAGTTAATGGTTTTTGCCAATAAGCACATAACTTTACAGCAGGGTTTGACAAACTGCACGGAATTTTTAATTTCTTTGTCAATCTTGGAAGAAAAAAAAACATAAATCCATGTTAGCACCTTTTTCAATGATTTGAACTATTTAAATTTGAAAAATAGCAGGATGAAAATCAGATTGATTTAATTTTAACTTTTTCTCAGGAAATTACTGAACTGTTCTTATTATATAGACCAGTTATTTAAAAAGTGTTCATTATTTTTTGAATCTACATGTAGTGACCTCTGCATTGCAAGATAACCCTGGGTCAGAAAATAGTGACACAGAGAGCAAGGTCAAAGGGCAAAAGAGGAAGAAGTCATCAAATTTTGATAACCCGTACTACGAAAAACGACGATCAGCCAGGGTAAAGGAAAACAAACTGTAGATTTAATATATTAAATAAGTTAAAGATTTAAAAAAAAAAAAGGTAAAGATTATGTAACGCTTTAAGAGCATTATACTTGTTTGAACCTTTCACTTATATCTGCTGTGAAGCGTATGGGGAAAATTTGTGTATTTGTACATTTAATTACACTTTAGATTTTCTTGTCCTAAATATTTTGATAGTCTTATTTTTCGCAGTTGTTTGCTACAAAAATTCCACCATTTTATTGATGTTCATATTTAGACACTGTGTGATATCTTAAATATTACAAATCCTAGTATGCTGTATGAGGAGTATTATATCCGGAGAGATAAATTTATGATTGAATTTGTACAGGTGAGAAACACTTTCACACGGAGAGAGGAGGAGCGAGTGAACTTCCGAGAGATCCTGGAGACATTCATACCTCCCAGTCTCAGGTATAGATTAAAAACAAGTTTGTAATAATTAATATCGTTCAAATAAAACATCATCATTATGAGGTGTGCAATTAATAGGTTACATTTATGGAATTTTGAACCCATTAGTTTTCTATAGGTTTATTGTATGCTTACCTACATGTACATGAATATTACTGGGATATACATTGTAGGTATATTTCAGCAACCTTTGGGTAATGTTTTGGGTGGTAAATGATAATCACCCTTGTGTCTGTTTATTGTTTAGGATGGTAAATGAGGATCAAGGCCTAGATATGGATATTGCATACATGTACATATATAAGGAATAAAAACACTGTGTGAATTCCTTACTGCACTGATAAGTTCATGACCTTACAGATGGAGCAAAATTCACCTAAATAAATGAAAGCACATCATCTACAGTTCACCTTCAATGTTAATGACTATTCAGTGTAATTGTTTATGAAGGTCTGGGGTTGATGAAGAGGAAATGGAGACCTTGGATGTTGTTTCTGACAATGAGGGATCTGTTTTTACTAAACCCAATAAAACTGGTAAGTATCTTTCACACTATAGAACCATTAGTACCTCACCCCACTTAAAGGAGGGATCTGCTTTCACTAAACCCAATCAGACTGATCAATATCTCACTCCCTAAAAATGGTTTAGTACCTCACCCACTGAAATGGCCTACTCCCAAAAAACTAATTTTGTTCCTCCTCCATTGAAACTGAAGAGAAGTTCAAATCTCTCCTAATAAATTGAATTACTGTAGATCACTATATTTTCACGACACTTTATTTTTAGCTATTTGGTATATATAAGCGAGACAAATTTTTTGTGAGCTATGGTTTTTGTTGTATATAATCCTTACTAATACGAATATATGTGAGAATGAAATTTTCGCGAACAGACAGACTTGCGTAATTATGCGAAAAAGTTCTCGCACATAAAAAGTGATTTACACTAGTACTTCACTTAATAAAATGGGTTAATATTTCTCCCAGAACTGCTTTAATTCCAATTGAGATCCCAATTATGAATTGCAGAGTGATATCATTGTGTTTTCTCATCTATTCAGGATTCACATATACACGTATGTATTTTTCAGGTCTTGATAGATTTCAATCTCCAGCCATTTTCAGTTTTCTGTGTTCTCAACTAAGCCAATTAAAAACAAGTCTTGCAAAAACAAGATACACGTACATTTACAATTGCGGGGACATCTGTAAAAAGAAATGTATTGGGCAGCTTAAATATTGTTAATGCCTCTTTGTAAATAAATTTTGAAAATTTCAAAAAGATAATAGATTTATTTCAGAAACTGGAACAGTATCAAAGGCAAAATTGTTATCAGATACAGAGGAAAATGATGTCAGAGAATTCCTTGAGAGAGAACAGAAAAATGGTGGCCTACTTATGTTGATGTTACATTTCCTGGAGTCCCTTTGTGACAGGGCAGAGCTAGCCTGGCCCCCAGAGCTCGCCTCCATCTATGTAAGGGTATATACAAGATGGAGGAGACATATAGACCTGCCTTGTTTGCTCAGGTTAGCAAATTTGAAGTTTGCCATCTTAAGTTGAACTTTCATGGTCAGTTATTTGTAACTCACCTGTATTTTATAAACTTTAGAATTTTTAGAATGATTACAGTAACCTTTCGTTTGATGCAATGTTTTTAAGCTTTTGTAACTTGACAACTTTTCAGTCCCAAATTGTTGTGATATATGCGACAATAATTCAGATATGTATCTTATCATCTTATTTTTTTTTCTTGTGAAGTAAAAATGAACCAGAGGAAGATATAAGAGTGTTTGGAAAGGTTTGTATTACAAATGCTCTTTATTGCTTAAAAAAGGTTTAGAATTTACCTGATTTTCAAATCTTATTGAATAGCTTAAAAATAGAATAAAAATATACATTCTATCTATGTTTTAAAAGAAAAATAAGCTATCATGAAATTCTAAGCTACTGTAGTATTCTTGTTATAGATGTTGTTGTTGAAGCTGGAGTTTCATTTTGATCAGTGGTTAACAAAGCACCTCAGAAGTGGAGCCTCACCTAAAGGGTATTTATACATATACTACTAATCACCACTAGATTCTAACACAATAGCATACAATGTTATGATTTTGTGATACTTTACAGAGTTAATTAAAAAAAAATAGGTTAATACATTAATAGGTACATGTGTACCTGTCTATGCTCTAGAACATGCACATGTAGATGCATGTTGGATTTATATACATAAACGTAGTTATCAATTATAGAAGATAACATACTTTACTTGACTGAAATTGAACCTAAATACAGTCAAACCTCGCTATCTCGAACTCGATGGGACCGAGAAAAAAACGAGATATCCAAGGGTTCAAGATATCGAGGGTAAAATACTTAAGAAATACGTGGTTAGGACTTCCCAATCACTTTGACATATCCATGGTATTCGACAAATCCGTGTTCGAGATACAAAAGTTCAACTGTAGCTATTGATATCAAAATTGAGAGATTTTCATGTTTCGTTTTAATAATGTTATTAATAGCAACACTTCTCACTGCAGGAAAAGTCCTGGATCAGGCCTTCCATCAGAGATGCCCAAGTTCTGGGAGGATGACATGGATTATATATTTGGGTTACAGGGGCAGTCAGAAGTCATGGGACCTTTGTGGCTACAGCACTGTGTTAGAGGTAGGATTGACTGTCAGTCTGACAGAAACAGGGGAATTAAAAACTGAAACTGGTATTTAATACTGAGTAGTGATGTTTAGATTGGCAACGCAGGTAGGTTAAGGCTTCCCATAGAAAATCACAGTGCACTCTGTGCCTTCACTCCTCTGAACTACCAAAATATGACGTCATAATGGAAAATGACGTCAAGTCAATGCCAACTTGAGGTGTTATGATGGGGAGGGTGTCATGAATTTTACACTTATTTCAAATTGCATGTAAAATGCTAGATAGCTTTTGCAAAATTCACGGGTCGTTAAAGGTTTTTTAAGTCTTAGATGTCTGAATATTTTAAAAATACATCGCTTACGTACCCTTGATTGAAATTCAGCATGTTCAAAATGCTTACGAAAAATATACTTTTGAAATGTACTCTGTTTTATACCCGTGGTTTGAGGTAGAATTTATTTTGTGTCTATAAAAGAGTCTGGCGCAGGTGATTAATGAGGATTAATCTGAGATTTTTTGTGGAAATCTGTAAGAAGAGGTTGTGCTCTAACTGAATCTTGCTTGGGAAAAATGTGTGATGGCTTTGTTTTAATACAGATTTCGATATTGTGTGGAAAATACCCTCAAATTTGTAGGTAAGTTGAATTCCTCATGAAATATTTTGTACCCAAGTAATACTATGACTATTCCCAAGCACATTTCGGGTACACAAGGAAACGATGAGTTTATTATACCCCCGCTCCGAAGGAGAGGGGGGTATACTGTTTTACCCTTGTGTGTCTGTCTGTCTGTCTGTCCGTCTGTCTGTCTGTCTGTCCGTAACAAACTTTGGTCGCAGTTTTCTCAGCAACTACTCATCAGAGGTGCTTGAAATTTTAACACACTCTTTGTTTAGGCATGTCATATGGTGGGATTCATTTTTGTACGAATTCAATGTCAACTTCCTGTTTATCCGTGCGTTTGTCCGTACCATACATAAAAAAATTTGGTCGTAGTTTTCTCAGCAACTACTCATCGCAGATGCTTGAAATTTTAGCACAATCTTTGTTTAGGCATGCCATATGGTGGGATTCATTTTTGTACGAATCCGATGTCAACTTCCTGTTTATCCGTGCGTCTGTCCGTATCACACATAACAAACTTTGGTCGCAGTTTTCTCAGCAACTACTCATCACAGGTGCTTGAAATTTTAACACACTCTTTGTTTAGGCATGCCATATGGTGGGATTCATTTTTGTACTAATCCGATGTCAACTTCCTGTTTATCCGTGCGTCTGTCCGTACCACACATAACAAACTTTGGTCACAGTTTTCTCAGCAACTACTCAACATAGGTGCTTGAAATTTTAACACATTCTTTGTTTAGGCATGCCATATGGTGGGATTCATTTTTGTACGAATCCGATGTCAACTTCCTGTTTATCCGTGCGTCTGTCCGTACCATACATTACAAATTTTGGTCGTAGTTTTCTCAGCAACTACTCATTGCAGATGCTTGAAATTTTAGCACAATCTTTGTTTAGGCATGCCATATAATAGGATTCATTTTTGGAACAAATCCGATGTCAACTTCCTGTTTATCCGTGCGTCTGTCCGTACCATACATAATAAATTTTGGTCGTAGTTTTCTCAGCAACTACTCATCGCAGATGCTTGAAATTTTTTCTTTGTTTAGGCATGCCATATGTTGGGATTCAGTTTTTACAAATCCGATGTCAATTTCCTGATTATCACTGTGTTTGTCCATAACTGAACTTGTGTATTCACATCAAAGCGGGGGTATTATTAGTGAGCATTGGCTCACAGACTTCTTGTTTATATAACAAAAAAAGTCATGTGATATCATAACAAACATGTTAATATAAAGCCGAGGGAACCCTCTATATAAATTGAAAGTACTAAAGTACAAAACTTATAATTAAAACCAAAACGGACCTCGCAGTGAAAAATTATGTTTTGAGCGCGTTTTAAAGCTTCGGGAAGCCTTAACATAGCTGCGAAAAAGATTGAAGTCTGAAGATTTTAAATTCAAAAATTTTGTGTCAGTCCAAGATGTGAACTTTTAAAGCCAATGGTTTCAATAAGTTTGCAGTTGTTTATGAAAATTAAGCAAATTTCTTTCTTCTGAAGCTTACTGGCTACAGGCTCGGTTGTGTCTACTTCAAGGAGAAATTCAGTATGCCTCATGCAGTTTTCACAAGGTATATATTTGTGATCGTTTTTTTTTTCCATCGTCTCACATGTGTCAAGAAATAAAGCATTTTATTGTAAGAGGATACATTATCTTTTGTTCTCATTAAGAGTTATTTCCATTTATGTACTAGGCAAAAGAATTTTTGAAATGGAGAATAGAGGATGAGAATGCCCAAGAGATTCTCCTGAGGAACTGCCAAAGTGACAACTGGATTTCAATAGGTATTTCATAAAGGCAATTGAAAGAAAAAGAACATTATGCTTGCTAAAACATACCTTATCATTTGCTGTTTGATATGTTGTCTCATTCCAGAAAGCATTGAGCGACATCAAGATTCCTTGGAGAGAAGTCAGTCCATGGATGAAATGCAGAAATTGTTTGAAGCCAAAGAATTTGAAAAAGTGGTTGAACTTTTGTTAAAGGCAGTTAACCAGCCAAGTCAGAAACCCATGGTGGGTTGTGTTGCTGTAAAATCAGGTTTTGATGTCAGGAGTGTTTCAGTAAGTAAATGAGCTCTTTGTTTCTTCTCCAGAGGATTGACCCTGAATCTGTTATACCTCCAAGGATTGAACAACTCTGCTTGCTACATGACTGCCTTCAAAAAATGGGAGATATGCAGGTGAATTCCTTTATACTGGCTATGAAAAGAATCTTGATTCAGTTTAACAATAAGCACTATTAAATTTTTTATTTGTATTGTAAACAAATTCTAGTACTTATGTTGACAACCCTATAATAAAATTTAGAGATTGTGTTCACTTTTAGCCTCACATTTACAGTAACTGCTCTTGGCTTTTTGTTTTTAGAGGTCCATACATTGGGGAGAGGTAGCTTTTCATGAGGCCTTCCAGGGATACAAGAAGGCCACAACAAGCCCACAGAAGGATGAATGGTCAGCGGTGTTAAACCAGATCTGGTCATCACTTCTTAGGTAAGAAAATACAACACAAATTGCAGAAAGATTAACAATGACCAAGCTCATCTCAATAAATGTTATCATTAAAGATGAAATCTCAGACAAATTGATGATCAGTAAGATGTACATGTACTCGTTTAATTTATAAATTCATTAAACATAATGGGGGGGGGGGGGGGGTCACAGAATTCAAAGCAGGTCTTTGTATCCCTAGAATAATGCAGATTCAGTGTGGTAGGCGTCATTGTTCATAGAGAAGGATCTGCTCCTAAAAACTTGAACCTGGTCACAGAAAGTATAATTAAGATGTAGCATTGGAAACAAATATAAAAATGTCCTAGGAGTCAGGTTGTTTGAGAATGCAACCCAAAGTGGGTGGTAGACTCCATCTAAGGCTAAATACTTCCCCGAGTCCAATAGCAAACAAGTACCGTGAGGTGTTTGGTTCAGGTAGGGCTTATGGTTATTTTGAAATTGAATTGATCCAAACTTAAAGCTGGTCACATCTAGGAATTACATGTATATGTCAGCTGGAGCATCCAAAGATAGTGCATCTCTATGCATCTTTGGTCCAGGCCTTATAGGTCGAAATTGAACTTGTAGAAATTTTAAACATGAGACACAAAGTGGTTTTATTTTGTCCCTGTTAGCTAAAAAGGGAAGAAGAAACCTAAAAAAATATAATTTGTAAAACATGTAATTAATTGAGCTGAAACTTTGGAATGAATTGTGTAAAAAATCAGCAGGCTAATAGAAGTTATGTATTTTACAAAAGAAATCTGGAGAAGCCTGAATGTTTGAAGGAGCTGAGTGGACCTCGTAAGAATCGTTTGACCTATGACCTGGTGTCTGTGATTGACATCATGATGTCGGTACCAGAGAAGGCCACTGATATGCCAATAGGAAGTGTATTACCTTGGATGATTCTGTACTCCATCATCCACTGGTAAGTTGATCATCCTTAATTGTAAAAATCCACTGGTAAGTTGGTCATCCTTAATTATAAAATAAATGTGTTGAAGATAACAGGTTTTCATTTTTTTTTCCTGATTCAGAGCCTATGATAATTCCTGGGAAAATATCTGCCTGTTTATTCTCTTGCTTAATAAAAATTTACAACTCACTGTTTCTTCTATCTTTTAAGTTTGGTTTGGAGATATTTTAACTATTTATAAGTTTTACAAATGGGATTGGACAAATGTTCTTAAAATTTGGTACACCCTTTCACTACATGTTAAGGACTAATGACCCTCTGCTCCAAATTTCACGAAAATTTTTTAAACTTCCCAACATTGATTTTCATGAAGAGCTATAGCATCAAAATCAAATGAAAAATAGTTTGAGGTAGGAAGCGCTGCTTATTTTTTCATAAATGATTTTTATGTCAGATCATAATATGAAGAAATTTTAACACAGAGATAAGTAAGAGTAATAATTTATTATCACAACATAAAATTAGAAATACACGGTGTATATGAAAATAATATTTAGTGTCATACCTACTAAATTCATATTAGAAAACATAATGAAGCGCTGCTTCCTAAGTCAGAATATCACAATGTTATATGTGGTTGTAAGAAAACAATACATCCTGTTAACAAGAGTTATCTTTCTTATAAATATTTTTTTCATTGGAAAAAAATGTAATACTAATAAAAATTCTATATTTGGTACTTGATACATTAAACCATTTTTAAAATGATCCTTAAAAAGATAGAACTTATTCAATTTTTAAAGGTTTTAAAATTGGATTTAAATGTTTTTTTGTCAAACATAATAAAACAATTTGAAAAGTACAGTCAAAGGAAATAGAAGGTAATGTTTCCAGCAGAGGTTAAGTTTGATCGAATTGACTGCTCAAAGGTCTCGATAATTAAAATCTGATAAAGTAAACTATGAGTAAAACTAGGATATCTTACTTGGAAAGTTATCTCTCTTTTCAGAGGGTCGGTCCCCCTTAATGCAATTTTACATCACAGTTTAAAAATAAAAGTAGAAATTTGCAATGGATTTCAATGAACAAAAAAAAAAAAAAAAAAAACAATTACTGAATGTAAATATAATTGAATGTGTATGAATGCTTTTAAAAATATTAAATTATTCATGAAGAGGCATATGGAATTGAAAACCAGTGTTTATTAGAACTTTTCTCTTTACACGGTAAATAAATTTGAACTACTATTTTCATGATTTTTTTTTTTTCGATAGTGAGGAAGAGAAATTCTTTGCCCTACATAAGGAGCAAGAATCTACAGACTTGAGTACCCAGGAGAATCTGCCCTCATCGTTGATGCTCCTCAATGTCTCACATGAATATCTAGGAAGGTAGGGATGAAAGAAATCAGGCCTTGGTATCTTGAACTCAGTGGAAATAATGTAAAATGTAGTGTAATAATGTAAGATGTATGTAGGAATTTAAGGTATCAGAGCCAAAACTTGAAATACTGTAGATCACCATATTTTTGCGACCTTATTTTTATGCCCCCGGATCGAAAGATCCCGAGGGTATATTGTTTTTGTCCCGTCTGTTTGTTTGTCTGTCTGTCTGTCTGTTGTCAACTTGAACCTAGCCCACAACTATTGCACTGTCAAGGGTAAGGCTTTAATATTTGACATGAGTGTTCATTATGACAAGACTTTCCCATTGGTACAGAAATTTTTGATCATGTGACCTCAACTGTGACCTTTGACCTACATTTGAAAAACTTTAACATTGGCCATAACTATTGCACTGTAGTCTACGTCCCACTCCAGAATTATGTTACCTTCAGGGGCATAGTGTTTCACAAACACATCTTGTTACTAGAAAGTTACTGTATGTGTACTTAAAATAGCGGGCTTCATATTTTAGCAGCTTTGGTGCAGACAATGATGCGCTAAATCATGAATACCATTAATAAATCATTTATAAATGCAATATACGCTAATTCATGAATACCATTCATAAATCATTTATAAATACAATATATGGCATGTTTGTGAGTAGTGCTAATTCATGAATATGCCAACAACTCAATACCCAGGGATTGCGCTAAATTTTGAATATGCCAATTTATGTTCATGTACAGTATTTGGTATTCGTAAGCAGAACAAAATTTTCACTAGTGTTGGTTTTTCTTGTAATCTTGATAATATACACCTATTTACTGGCTATGAGGACAATAGCAAGTTTATCGTTCCCCAAGACAGCAACTATTTCCCAAGGCGCAGCCGAGGGAAATAGTTGCTGTCGAGGGGAACGATAAACTTGCTATTGTCCGGATAGTCAGTAAATAAGTGTTTAATTATACCAAAGCAGTCTTTACTTGTGTTACGTCACAACCTGTATAAAACCAGAAGAGTTCCGAGATGAAAAGCGAGGGAAACAGAATGCTGCCGGTGAATAGTTTAATGACTATTTCACCATGGGCAAATAGCACAAAAACTATTCCACGGTAGGGGCTGTTTGGAAAAAATAGCATGTTTATTCATAATATTTTTATATAGAAAAAATTCACAGAGGTATAATAAAAAAATATATTCAAGAGTAAAATTTTATGCAACAAAGTCGAGTATTTTGAAAATGTTCTCACTCAAATGTTTTAAAGATTACCCATGAAGATGTAGTTTAACATGAATGATAAGTAGGGAAAATATAACAGAGGAATCTGCATTTTTTTGTTTATATACATCTTGTAGCTGCAAATGAATATATTTGTCTCCTAGGAATTTACAAAAATTTGAATACTGGTCTATCTTCTAGTCAATTCAAATTGATTAAAAAATCATGAGACCATTGCTATCATACATGTATATTATTACAGCCATTCATGGTGCACAAAGTCAGATGGGAAATTGCTGATATTTTTCATGGATGTCTTGGAAAAGAAACTAAAGGACAATTTTAAGTACACAGATGATCTCAGACAGATGTATGAACAGTGTGTTTACTGTCTTTATGGTCATCCAAATAAGAAGGGCAAGGCCAAACACCTGGCTGACCACAATGTCCCGCCCCTCACTCTCACCCTCCCTCAAGCCATACAGCTGTTTGAATATTACAAGCCAAAGAATTTGCCAGAGTTTGACAGTTTTAAGACCGACACTGTTTCTGCTGAGGTAATAAATGCAGATGTTAAGTTAATTTTCAGGGAGCCAAGAAAATGCTGAGATTCCTATCTAAACAAATACAAAGAGTTCCATTTGATATTTCTGTCATACAGGGGTACTTCTTTCAAGAAAAATTATGCATAGTGAACTGTCTATTGACTTAGGATCAATAGTTTAATAATTTATATTTGATGAGTTGAATTATACCTCCTCCAGATATGTCAGATGATTAGAGGATTATATGCATTAACTGTAAAAGTCAAGTGTGTAACAAAAACAAACTGCAAGGGATAACCCTAATGTCTGGTGACCTAATATTTTTTTTCTAATTTCAACAGTTTCTTTATTCTATTATGTTTAATTAATTGTAGCTGGAGTCTCTCTTAAGAAGAATTATACAACTTATACCGGAGGAAGAAAAACCAGGTAGGGCATGCTTTCTTCATATTTAAATCAGACAAAACATTTTATACACGTGAATTTGATTAATGTGGTACAATTGTATGTTGTTTTGTTTTAAGCTAACAGACTGGATAAAGTTCAGGACTATATTGATGGCACAAGCAGTGTTGTTCCTACCCCTGTAAAAGGGCTAGAGTTCTCGTAAGTGACATCTTTATTTTAAAAAAGGTGAACTTTTACCTGCACTTAAGTGCAGAAAACATATTATTGCACCCCTCCATTCATGTCAGCTTCTAGACCTAATGATAAGGGTAATATTCAATATTTTTAAGTTTAAGAATATTTGCTGATGTATTAACAACACTTTGTGCCATGTCTTCATTATGTACTTAAGCAGTGGGGCATCATATTCATTTTGAAATTGTGAAGTCAGGGGAACTGTTGAAATTTCAAAATGTTACTACATGTATTTCTTCTCATGTTCAAGTGTAAGTTTAGAGAGGTCTAAATGAAAATGTTTACAAAAAACATCATATTATACATTAACTTCAATCAGTTGAGGGGTTTCATTGAGAAAATTTTAGGAAAAAATTGTTTAAGGTAATTGATTTATGGTGTTTTTAATAGGAAGACATACTAATTCAATAGAAAATGTGGTAATTCATAGTTGCATTGATTATTTTTTACAGAACCATAACAAAAGAAATCTATTACTTGCTGGCTGATTATTACTTCAAGAACAATGAACATCCGTAAGTAACCAACTACAATAACATGTAATTTCTTGCTTTTGAACTTTCAGATGTAGCCTTTTTTACTCTTTCTTTTTTTATGTCCCAGGAAAGCCATCAAATTTTACATGTATGATATATGTGTTTGTCCATTACGACTGGACTCCTGGGCGGGTTTGGCCCTAGCTAGGATGTATCAGCTGGAACAGAAACTCAACTCGGTTAGTATATTATCAACAAAGACTGTTATCTGGATAAAACCATGAAGTTGTTGTTCGATTGTTTTGAGATTCAGAATGTACATTTGGCTTCTTGGGTGAGACTGATATTATGAATATGACCCAAAAAAACTCCCAAAAATCGATCCTCACATTTTGTGAAGTTGTTTTTATTCTATTTTCAGACTGATCTGAAACTAGACGTGTCACTGAGGAAGCGGTCTGGGGCAGCACTGAGGTGTTTTGACAGGGCGGTAGATATAGAGGATGCTTATGGCAAACTATGGATGGAGTATGGATCTTTGTCCTACCAATTACATGCTCACTCCTCCAGGCAACTCAGCTTTCATCAGGTTAGATACTTCTATATTGGTTTTAATTCTATTCTTGTATTGTCATTTCAAAGTTCTCTGTTAAGCATCTTGGCATTTATCATGTTTAAGTGGCCAAATCTAAGGCATATGCCAACAGTTAACATAGAAAAAAAACCCAGTTAGAATGGCCTGAAAAAAAATGTTAAGTTCAGGTGTCATAATTGAGGCAGAAGGTCTGTGATTTCTTTTTAACAGAATTTGAAGCAAAACTTGGTCTGTGATGTGACACTGCTAGTCTGTCTATCCATCTGTCAACTCCATAAATTTTTGGTGTTGTTGTCTTCAAATTCTTCTATATTTCAGGAAAAGAAACATGAATGTGATGTGGATTTTCTTCCACCAGAGTTACAGCAGTCAGCATCCAGCTTTAAGCTTGAGATGTTGGACAAGGCGTTCATGTGTTATAAGAGTGCCTCCCAGTGTGTAGACGAGGAGAGCGAGGAATGGCTGACTGATTACATGATGGGGAAGTGTTTGGAGAAGATGCACAAGTCTCCCATGGAATATCTGAATTATTATAGACAGGTCAGATGTCATAGTTGATAAGAGAATATGTTTAACATTTATGTGTGTAAATTACCATCTACCTAGAGGGATTTAAAGGGGGAGTACTCTGTGGATTTTGCTTTTTTTTTGGGGGGGGGGGATTCATTGAAATGAAAATATAAATACCTGGTAATAAGAGAGACCCACAAGAGGATCTGAAGTTTAAAAAAAAAAGAAGAAGTATTAAAATTGTGCTGATTTTTTTTTTCACTAACTCGGAAATTAAATTTGGTGGCAGAAAAAAAAGAATTAAAACATTTGAGTTGTAGTATGTAAAACTTTGGATATGTGAAGTATTGGTTGGTCACTTGATGTTTTTTTTGTGATGGATATTTTAGGCTGCTGCTGCTCTACATGAAGAGAATGCTACTTACCCCAAAAAGATTGCCTATGCTTACACAGCCCATACCTCCCCCAGGCTAGCAGTAGAGGCTTTGGAGGCAAGTCTGAAAAAATTACTTTGAAGTTAGAAATTTTGGAATAAACAATAAGAGATTCATTAGTCTCAAATATATCATCTCAACTTGTATCAATTAGTACATGATTAATGTGTGTCAGTGTTTTACAGATGTTCTACCGCCTTCACGTGTCTATCCTGAAACTACTGCTCAAAGGCTCCAACACTGAGGATTACCACACCTACGCTGAATATATAGAGGAAGCAGCTAATTCTCCGTTTGCCAGAGGATGTGAGAAAAAAGATGAGGAGTCTGGAAAGTATGAGGATTTTTAATTAGTGACATTCCATGTGATATTAAGATCTTGTTGCTTATTTTAGTGTATCCATGACAAATTAAGATTTTATTGTTTATTTTAGTGTATCAATGACACATTAAGATTTTGTTGCTTATTTTAGTGTATCCATGACAAATTAAAATTTTGTTGTTTATTTTAGTGTATCCATGTCAAATTTTGATTTTGTTGTTTATTTTAGTGTATCTATGGATTATGATGATACAAAGACTGACAAAACCACCACGAACCAACAAGACCACACATACTCCAAATCCAAGGATCCCACAAACATGATGGACAATGTTGATGAAAATCAGGTGAACATCGATTCTGCGGACAGTATGGATGAAAAGCTGGAAGACTCTGCAAATAACAGTAGAGACAGCAGCGAGTATTTCCCCAGTGCAGAGCCCTCTGAATCTTCTCAGGATGTTGGGGGTAACATGGAAACCGAAGATAGTATGCTGACATTTTCTGGGGCTTCCTTTAAACACCAGCAACCTTCTGAGCTACCAAAAACAATTGAATTGTCAGCCGAGGTGCTGGATTCTTGCGGGAAAATCCCAGATTCTGAAGAAAGTGCAGCTTCAAAAAGTGACAGTACAGAACTGTTATCTAAACAGAGGTCATTAGGTTTTATCCCTTCTGGGATGGTTGAGGAACCAAAGTCCAACTCAGAATTAAGTTTGACAGAAGATTCATCCCTGTCCAAAACTGGAATGGACATCATTGAAATTTTTTCCTCACCAGAACCTATTGATCCGAAAATACAGCCGAAGTTTTTCACGCCAGATAATCGGCAGTCCTCTGTAGAGTCTGATGATAAAATGGAAATCGTCACGTCAAGCACTGTACAAAATGTAGAGGAGAAGCCTGAAATGTGCAATGATGGTGCTTCCATTCCTGACACAAAAGCAGCGGGAGATGTTCAATCCATGGAGAGTCTGGAAAAGAAGGAGGAAAAAGTCAGTGATAGCATGAAGCAAACAGGGGATAATACATTGGCAGTGAAAGAAAGTATGTAGTTTGTTGTCTTTCATATCAGTTACATCTACATGTATTTTTGATGAGTCATTGTAATTTTGATTGTAGTAAATACTGTATGTGTACTTAAAAAAAGCGGGCTTCATATTTTAGCGGCTTTGACGCAGACAAGGATGTGCTAATTCATGAATACTGCTAAGAAATCATTTATAAATACAATGTACGGCATGGACATGTGTAGCGCTAATTCATGATTTCGCCAACAACTCCATACCCAGTGATTGCGCTAAAATTTTGAATACGCCAATTTATGTACACGTACAGTAAGTTCTTTCAACCGTTAAAATATTAGCAGTCTCCTGTGGTATATGTTGTTTTACAAATAATGATATATAGATAAGAGGCATTTCATCATCAGTGGTTTTGATTGATAATCTTTTAAGCAGATGAGAACAAGGGAAAAGAGTCAGAGTCAGCAAATGAGGCAGAAAGATCCAAAGAATCTGATAAAATCTTACCAGACAAAACTACAAACAAACCTGAATCTGATAGTCCAAGCATAAAGACAGAAGTACCCTCCAAAGGAACTCCACAGGAAGGTAAAAAAGAGACAAACTCGGATAACCCTGCACAAACAGGAGGGGGTGACACTGATACACAAAAACATGCAGAAGAAAACAAAAAAGAAGAATCCAGCAAATCAGAGGAAACGGAGAAACCCAAACTGGAGGGAATGGAGAAACCCAAACTGGAGGGGACTGCACTGCGTAAAGACCTGATAGAGAAGTGTATGGCAGCTTTACACCTGTGTTTGTCTAGGTTTCCTACCCACTACAAATCTACTTATAGACTGGCTTATGTCTACTTCTACTCAACTTTTCACAAGGTAAATATTTTCTTTGCATTGAAGTGATAAAAAACTATTTTGACAATGGTTTGGAAGGATTATTTGTTTTAGGAAAAAAAAAAAAAAAAACGCACTTAAAAATGCATCTATTCAAACACTGATTCTTTAAGTTTTCAGCAGAAAAACATAATTATGGTACATGTGTATATCTTACTTATGAAGCACTTTGATCAATATACATGTAAATTCAAAGAGATATACACATTTATTTGATTAATCAAGCAATGCATTTATAATTGCACATCATGAAATGTGTTCACTTATTTAATATTTTTTATCATCAGAACCTGCAGTACGCTCGAGATCTCTTGCTGGGGAATCCCCAGTGGCAGTCTCTCAGCTATATGCCAGCACAGGGACTCTTCAGTGAGAGAAAAGTCACCAACTTTTTCCAGGTGAGCATACTGATGAATACTGCATGTTATTTTAAAAATCTAAAGGGATTGTCTTCTCTTATTTTTAGAAAACAATAAATTTAAATGAGGAGTATTATTCCAGGTAGGGAAATAGAGAGAAAAAATTGTTACACAGAGTTCTTTTTTCAGCTGTTTTAAAATACAGTCAGATCTTAATATCTTGATGGGACCAAGAATAAACTTTGAGATACATGTATTCAAGGATTTAAGATATCGAGAGTAAAATACATAAAGAATATGTGGTTAGGACTTCCAAATCACTTCAACATATCCATGGTATTCAAGATAGCGATACTCAAGATACCGAAGTTCAATTGTTTGTCCTTTCTTTAATTGGCCGTCTGGGGTATTAGTCCCATTAGGACAGTTTTAGCTTTGATATTAAACATGACAAGAACAAAAATGGTACTTTCTTAAACATTTTTGCAACCCAAATGCCGTTACAGAGTGAATGGGATATAGAGAGGCTGTGAAATAATTTACCAGTGCTCACAAAATGCTTCATGTTATGAAACAATTTTGATGTGTTGATTAATTTTCTATCAGGGAACTTGGAGACTTCCTATCAGTGAAGTAGAGAGGGCAGGAAGTTTTGCTACACACCTCAACAGGGCCGTGCTCCTCCTGCTAAAGGTTCTGTTGGAGCAGAAGGATGTCCCCATGTTGTACCATCTCCATCTGCAGCTAAACAGGACACCGGATGCAGAAAAGTAAGTCATTAGAAAGAAAATTCTGCACAACTGCATGTAATGTAGTTGGGAGTTGGGGGGGGGGGTAAAGAAAAGCTAAATGCTCCCTCATAATCTGACTCAAGTTTTTGTGTTGAAACCTGCTATTAATAAAAAGTTTTTTATATGAACATTATTGATTGCTGTGCAGATTGATAAAACATTTAAAAAATTAAAAACAAAACTTGCACCTATACAATTGGATTGACTGGTAATATAATTGACTTTTAATATATGTACAAAGATTCTTCACACAGAGGCATGTTTTTCAGGAAATACCTTCGTGATGCCGAGCGGCTACATTACTCAAAACTGGCTCTGGATTATTGCTTGACTGCCATAAAGAACAGACTTCCAGAAATACAAGAATTACAGGACACTGAAAAAGCCATTAAATTGTTGATGGAGACCTATAAAATTTATAACTATGGAATTTCTAAAATGAAGGCAACCATTGGACCCAGAATTAGCAATCTCCTGGCAGTAACGTACAAGGCAGTCATGAAGGAAGAGGTAATGTTTTGGGACAGTAAAATGAAATTTGATACTGTTTATAGTAATTAACTAGAACTTCTGTTTATCTGAGTTATGTTTATAGCTTCTCAAATTTATATCAGAGATACTAAATTAGTGCCCTTTGACACAAAGGGTGATATTTAGCTAACATGTCTGATGAATCTGTCCATAGGAATACATCAAGGTTAAATGGGTAAGAAATAGGGATGGAAATTGGGCCAACATTTAGTAACCTGTTAATTGTCATTCTTTTATCTGAGTATCTGTTTAACCATCAAAAATATACACAGTAATTAAAAACTAATACATGTATATATAATCATTTGCGGTTCCACTGTTTTCTTGGTTAACCAGTAAATTATTACTGTATCTTTATTTTTAGCTCACCTGAGGTGAAAGCTCAAGTCAGCTTTTCTGATCACCTGTTGTTTGGTGTTTGTCTCTCTGTCTGTAAACTTTTCACATTTTTGACTTCTTCCCAAGAACCACTGGGCCAGTTTTAACCAAAGTTTTAACAAAACATCCTTTGGTAAAAGGAATTCAGAGTTTTTCAGGGATAAATATTAACTTTCAGATTAACCTGCCCAAAAGGGCAAGTGATCAGAAACTTTTACTTGTCTGAATGCAAAACCTGGTTGCCCAAAATTAGATAAAAAGAAAATTTATTACTGTACACTGGTAAATACTATGATATGAAAAAGTGTGACCAGATACACTACGTAAATTTGGCAAGTTGAAATGCCTTCAAAAATATGTCAATGCCACATTTGTACATAAATATAAATACCACTGTCCTTGTCAATTTTAACCTGTAAACATATGCAGCAATAACCTGATAACCCTCAATTTCCTTTATAATAAAATTCATATCATGAAAAATTATTTTTGATAGGATCCTTTTGTGAATTTTCATTTTCAGAGATAACTGTGAAGCAATGCTCACAATGATAAATGCTACGAAACATATATATCTTGATCAGGATACGTTGTCTTGCGTATATTCTGTGAATGAATAAATATTGTTAAGCATATATACATGAAAGAAAGCAGAATAACAAACCCAATTTTTAAATGAACGGTATAATCTAGAAACGCTACCAAGGGATTTCAAATGCATAAACAATGCCAGTCACGTTCTTGGTGGAAATCAAGTCTTCAATTTATGTGTATTGTTTTATTTTGAAAATTAATGTAAGCTAAATTTCTATCAGAAAATTTCACTTGCCTGATCGGACAAGTAAGTTGACAGTTTCACTTGCCAAAAGGGACAACTGTAAATGTCTATCCCTGTTCTTAAAATGAAGGTCCATGCTACCTTCCAAAGGGAGATAATCAAGAAATTGCAAAAATTGGGTGGGATCTTTAAAAAAGATCCACTGGGCCAGAAAAGGTGAAACTTTGTAGAAGCTTCCTGAGAAAGTGTATATTCTAAATTGTTCAAATCATGGACCCCAGGGTAGGATGGGGCCACAGTAGGAAATAAAAATTAAAAATTTTCTTCTCAAAAACCACTGGACCAGAAACTTATTAAGAGCTTCCTAAGGTAGTGTAGATTGTATTTTTCAACTCATGGCCCTTGGAGGTAGGGTAGGGTCACAATAGGGTATCATTGTTTTGCATGGAACTTTACAAGAAAAAATAAAAATTTAAAATCTTCTAAAGATACACAATAATTAATTGCAAACATTCTCAAATTGTGGTCGATTAAATTTTTTTTTTCAAATTATAGATCCTTATTTTGAGTTGACTAAAATCGGGTCAAATGTTACATACCGTAATGCATGTATACAGGTAAAGAATGTTCTTCTCCATAACTGCAAGGCCATGGTAGTCATATTGATTATGAAGCATCTCAATGTGTGCATTCAATCAGAGACCCCTCATGTGGGGGGGGGGGGGAGGGTTTGTAGCTGTAAGTCTGCATCTACAGAATTGAAACTTATATTTGTGTTAGTGGTCAAGAATTAATTTTTACTGTTACATTGAAATCTTAGGTGATGTGTTCTTAAGAAAAAACAAAAAAAAAACAAAGATTATCAAATATACTTATTTTTGTAGGTCTCCCCAGATAAACCTCTTTTTGAACAAGCAATCAAATTCTGTCAACTTTATCATCAACAGAACACACCACAGAGACAGGTACAGAATACGTTATACAATGCTGCAGCGTATCAATCTTGTAGACCATGCAAAAATGTTACTAGGAATGAAGAAACAAATAAAATCATTAAACTGTACTGTCGAGAAAGTGCTTTTCTTTAATGTTTTTGAATAATTAATTAAAGCAATAATTGATCTGAAATGGCAGGTACGAGGGTTGTTAGAAAAGTTCGCGGACAAGTTCTATTGTGAGCGCACTATTTGCATGAAACAAGTAAACTTGGCAGACAAAAACTATGCACATTTTCCAATAAATATGTAAATATTTGGTGTTTTCAGATGATCCATAAATTTTTTTTAGTTATTTCATTTAGATAAAACATGCTTCACGGAGCATGTAACTTTTCGCACATTTACATAACATAGACATTTTTTGGAAATTAAAAATTGCACTGTTGTAGCTCACAAAGATTTACCGTATATACTCGCCTATAAGTCGGTCCACCTATAAGTCGGTTGTATTTTTTTAGGTTATTTTGGAGGAATTTGCCATTGACCCGCTTATAAGTCGGTACAACTTTTTGTTAGGATCGGTTGACAATTTCAAATCAATGCTCTGATTCTTAACCAGGTTTCAATTAACATTTTAAGAAATGACGCTGATGTGTAATTTTAAATCATTAAAAAAATAAGTAATGCACACTTAGATAAAAATAAAGTTATTAAAATATGTGATACTTGTAATTTATCATGCTTATGCATAATCTTAGAATACATATATGATATAATGTAACTTGACTTTGTTCAAAGATAATCGTCACAAATGCTTATAAAGTACTACATTTCACCCTCCAGAGAAATACCAGTCTTTTCATGACTCGCCTCTAGAGTTTTGGACCAAACTTTAACTCCCAAAAAACTGACTTATAGGCGAGTATATACGGTATGATAATTTACCTTCCGCTACATGAAACATCCTTCTATGTGTGCATTCAATCAAATTCTGTCAACATCCTTCAGCAAAAGTTTGAATAAAATTGGTGGGGTCATGACTGTTTTATTGCTAATTATAGATGACCAATGCGTAAAAACAAAGTCAATAATGGAAACGTCATTGAACGTCTTGGAGCACCGCGCTATTAAAAAAATATGTGTGCAGACTGGATAATACCCAAAAGAGACTAAAATGTTCTAGATGCTGCTGGGAATTGCCTACATAATTTAGGACCAAATTGTTCAAATGGAGAAGCTTAATTCGAATGGACGGATTGACATTTTTGATGATCAACTCTTGTGTTACTCCAATACCCCGCTTTTTGCATGGACATTGGGCCTATGGATTTTGCATTGTTTCCATATACTATGTAGACATTGATTTTAAGATCTCACTAATATCCGATACGCCACAATAAGACATTTTAAAAAAAAAAGTAACATGTTTTCATATAGTTATTTAATTTTTAAGTAGGAAAAAAAACATGAAAAGTCTACAGAAATGGAAGATATTTAGAACTGTGAAAAGGCTTAACACGTTTGGAAACAGGTTGTCATGTCACTTAGTGATTGCTCCGTGAATCCCATGAACGCACAGTAAAAATCATCGTATATTTTCAAACTTTTAGTAAATGGACCTGATTTTTTAAATACTAATAAACAAAAGATAAGAATTTAATCAGACAAATGTCATTCTTCACAAAACATATTACAATTTCCATAAATTAACGTGTCTGTGAACTTTTCTAACAACCCTCGTATAATATTATGCTCTATTTTTCAAGTAGTCTGCCAGATGCATCACAAATGTCATGTGTAATGTTCATGTTTTTAAATCCAGTGATCAGTGTTTCATTTTTCGTAGGGCACTGTTCGATCGAGTATGGATAGCAGTCTTTCTGATTCCTCCTTGTTTTCCCCTGACCGCCTTTTAACGAATCCTTTTAGACCTTCAGGAACACCCCAATCTCCAGTAAAAACACCTCAGGCCATCCTGTCGTCCACACAACAAACAAAATCTCAACAGTCCCCTACCACTTCAGTGCAAGTGCCTCCTAGTAAACCAGAGGCACCTCAATCACCAGCCAAGTTACCTCAAACTAGCACTGCAATGCCATCCAGCAAACCACAGACAAATCCATCAACATTAAAGTTTTCACAGATCGTCACTTCTGTACCACCAAAACCCAAACAGCCTATAGTTCAGTTGACCAAATTACAAATGACACCTCAAACTTTTTCAGAGCTTACTAAAGAACCATCAGTAGAGGAGCCTAAAGTTAATGCATCTGCAATTCTTGGTGGGGTACAGAGCAAAACAAGTGCTAGCTTGTCAGTGGGATCTAGACAATTGTCTTCTGGGATATCTGCGATTTCCTTGATATCTTCCTTAATAGAGGATGGTATCAACAAAGCTAACAAGCAGAAGACTGAAAAAGCTGGAAGAAGTGAAAGTATGACTGATGAACCACCAGCTCCAATAAGTACTCCTGCTACTCCAAAACTTACCAAAGCAACTTCTCCTAGGCCTTCCTCTGGGATGTCACGTCCACCTCTTCATTTGATACATCCCAAGAAAAGGGCACTGATGTCTGAAGAAGTGATTGAAATTTTGTCTTCTGATGAGGAAGAAGAAGCAATGGAAGTTGCATCAACAGGCAAGTCAGGGAGTCAAAAGGAAGATGTGAAAAAGTTGACAGGGGAAAATGTGGAAATGGATGACAATGCAAATCAAAGTCAGGCTGAAGAGGAAAAGAAGGAAATTGAAAGAAAAAACAGTAGTGGTGCTTTAATGACTGGGAACACTGAAAGTGAAAGTAAAGATAATCCAAGTTCTAGTAAAGTAATGGAGTCAAAGATGGAGGCAGGCACCGATTCAGGAAAGGATGGAATGTCAGATGTCAAGGATGTACCTTATCTTGATCCATCGACAGGATTGTTTGTGACAGACTCGGACAGTCAGAGCAGTGTATACGTAGCCAATCCAGAGAACATCTCATTCGAGGATGAACTGATGGTAGAGGATGACTGAAGCCAGTAATATTGACCTGTGTGGATGTTAGACTGACTGTGTGTGGGCTCTGGCTGTGTGTGAACATGTCATATATTTTCCAGTCTTGCTGTAGGATAGAGCATTGATGGAGAATGAGCCAATTTTGGCAGATGACAAAGTTTGTAGTATTATCTGAGTGGAAGACTGAAAGTTATGGCTGTATGTGCTGTGGTCAGCTGTTGAAAAAGAGTGAATGAAAAAAATGTTTCTGGAGGATGTTGAGACAAAGGAGAGTAAAAACTTGACAAGTATAAATTGAAAGAAATGTGAGAGGAGTAGAAGTAGGTACACATGTACTAGTGTATATGCTGAATATTTCTGAGTGGTTGGTCATATGTGTGTATGTAGATAATGCAGAAGCATTACTTGTATAATAAAACAGTACCAGAATATTGTTGTTAGTGTCAGTGATGATCAAAGCAGAAAAAAGGTGACTGTTTTAAAAGCAAGCAATTTCATGTGATGTCCTAATTTTGAGTTTCAAAATACAGTAAAACATGCTTATAGCGAACACTTTTATAATGAATTGACGCTTACAGTGAAGTGATTTTCATTACCTGTGAGTTAAAAATATATTGCAAACTTATTGGATATAACGAATTACGCTTATAACGAAGCAAAATCGGCCGTCCCTGGCACTTCGTTATAAGCATGTTTTACTGTATTGTTTAACTTATGTGGAAAAAATATAAAGGTATATAAAAGAAAGTTGACAAAGATACAGCTAAATTTTAAAATGTGCAGAATACTTTTCATAAATGCCGAAAGTATATACGGTTGAACTTTGGTATCTCGCCTTTTGTCATTTGCTTTTTCTTGATTATCTCCCCTTAGAAGGGAGTATTGTTGGTTACTTGCAAGTGGGAATCGGTGGAATTGAGATTTTTAAAAAGTGGGAATAGGTAGAAGACTCCGTTTTGCCCTACGATTATGACTTCATGATGAGTATGACAGACTTAGAAAAAAGGTACAAGAAATAAAACTTCAGAAATTATTTCAATACCTTGGCATATAATTAAAAATGTTCAGTAGTCCGAAATATATGACGTTTTCCAGGTGTTTTTCTCGATTTTGTAATTTACGTGCCAGGAAAACGTCAAAACCGGCGCCATTATGAAAAGTGGCAATTTCGCCTCCACCAACCGAACTCGATTTTGGATACTTGCAAATCAAATTAAATGTCAGACTCACAGCTTATCAGTAGCACAATGCTTCTAGTTCTCACCAATATCACCTAAAAGAACATCTCACCCCAAATTACGATACAGGTTTCACGAGATTTCAAAATGCACGAAATCAAAACAAACCTCCACAGTTTGATGAAATGTTTTCACCAGACACTTTATATTACAAAAGGACAATAAAAGCATATTGGTTAGTACTAGAAGCATTGTACGGTTGATAAGATATGAGTTGGACATTTGATTAAGTTCGAATGTATCGAAAATCGACCCGAGAATGCCGCCTTCCGTTGGAGGCGGTGATTTTCCACTTTTCATAACGGCGCCGATTTTGACGTTTTCCTGGCAAAATCGTGAAAAACGCCTGGAAAACGTCAGATATGTCGGACTAAACGTCCAGGTGACGAAGATACATTCGGCGACGTATAGTACTCGAATGTGGCATACTTTCATTTCAGTAGTTAGGTAAGCCCGATGACGATATAAACTACATTTTTTTTGTAAACCAGTACTAAAAGCCATGTTTCAAGGTCATAACAAAGTGTTGCAAACAAAACACAATTGAAAAAAAATGGGTTGCGGAATCGTAAAATAATACTTGCGAAAAAGTAACTCTTATTTTGCTAAAAAAGCAATGATAATATCATAAATACAAAATTAATGCGACGGACCAGATCAGGAGTCAAACTCGGGTCCCCATTATCACGTCCGCGCCCCAACAGAGACCAACCCAGACTCTTTCCTGGGAGGTCTTTCATCTGTGACTTCCTGTGTATGGCACGGCAACGGACCAGACCCCCATCCTGAATCAATAGCCATGTGCTCTATCAACTGAGCAATCTGTCGACCGAATCCTGTTCGAATCCTGCTCTTTTCCTTCCTATTTTTCTCCTCGTGAGTCGTCGTTTGTACATAATAATACCCCTTCCCCTTTCAAACTCAGTCACACAGGTTTTAAAATAACGTCCAGAAAAAAAAAAGGGTAGACTTTACTTTACCGGTCCCCAGATCCGCAAGATTCGCGCGCTCATTGCATTATGACGTAAGATTACGTCACTCAACTGATAAGGGTTAGTCTTGCACATTTTTTGACTGGTTAGGTACGTTAGTCTTGCACCCACCTGAGAGATTAGGGTTAGTCCTTGAACAAGTTTTCAACTGATTAGGGTTAGTCTCGCATCCATCCGAGAGATTAGGGTTAGTCCTCGCACATGGGTTAGTCTAGCATCCGCCCGGGAGATTTGGGTTAGTCCTCGCTTACCATCCGAGGGATTAGGGTTAGTGTCTTGTTTTTTTTTTAATTCAGCTTTAACGACATCTCTTTGGTTTGTTTACATGAAAAAATGGCTCAGTACGAAAGAAACGGCACTAAGCATGCGCCGCACGCGCTCTGTTGACAATTATTTTTTGTCTCCTTTTCACTGAATAAACAATATTAATCACTTTTTTCAGAAAACGAGGTTAAAAACTTCGTTTAAAAACGAAGTTTTAAACTAAACTTTTATCAGTAGAATTCGATTTTGGGGTCAAAAAGGCTAAAAACCTCATACTTTTAATTTTTTTCGATCGCTCACGCGATCTCATATATACTGAAGTCGCCTACGGCGACACTATATTTTAGCGCGTTTTTCTGGGGACCGGTAAAGTAAAGTCGTTCCAAAAAAAACATTAGAAAGATCTTTAAACCATTATTTTTTCCAACATTTTCTAGGATTTTTAGTCACAAGTCAAAATGGCGCTAAATGTCAAGCCAGATGACGTCACAGGACATTTCGAACAACATGAAATCGACTTGGTCATGGCTATTAATTTTCTTGTCTTTAGAAATCGAAAAAAGAAAAGGTCTTAGGAGACCTGAGAGGTAAGAAAACATATTGTTAATAATTTTACTATTTTACACTATATTTAGCTTTATCATTGTTGATGACGTCATGCTTGGTAACTGCTAGGAAGCGTTGCGTTTTGGTTACTGTTGGTAGTTACTCACTTCAGTCAGTTGCGAGTAGACGTGTTTTTCACAGAGCGACAAAAATCTCAAATATCACAATGAAAAGAGAAAGATCTTCCGAGAGAAAGAGCAAGAGTGTGTCTAAAAGGGTAATCTTTCAGAAAATAAAATTTTATTGGTCTTTAATGCTTCTTTTTGTGACCTAGATCTATTTACAATATTTTCAGAAAGATCAAAGGGGTATGGGAATGGCTGATTTATTAACTTTGACAAATTTATGCACCTAACATGCATTCTTTAGGCCTATTTCATTTGAGTAAACAACCGATCTCTTACAACATGTGTAAATACACCTACAAACAATAAAAAAAAATATAGCCATGGTGGAAAGGGGCGGGGGGTGGGGGCTTAAGAAAGCCATTTTAGTACAAAGATTGCTAGAATACAGTGGGGTGAGCAAACAAATCCTCAATGGAAGGGCTTGAGTGGAATAAACTAAAAATTCAAAACATCGATGTAAACATAGCAATGCTTTTGATGATTAAAAAAGAAGAGAAAATTCGGTTTTCAAAATAAAATTTTTCATTTAAAATTTAGGTAATTTTTGATGACAATCTTAATTATCTACTAAAAACTTTGCAAACTTACTTTAGGAAATGCATCATGCCGATAGTATAGGCCTTATACGGGTATATCGCTTTAATCATAATTAATTTTAAACCATCTGTATTTGATTTCCATGTACGTTGATGTAAACAAAGGGAGGGCACTCTCCAGCAACCGTATTGGAAAGGGGAGAGTACTTTAGCAATTTTCTTTTTGTTCCCCTTTGATATTTTTTTAAATGATCGTTTTAAACATCTTACTTGGACTTTTAATTTCAATGATTTATTTGACTGGCAGTTACTGTGTGAATTTTAAACAGTTCTTTCTCTTCGGCTTGATAAGACCATTTTACAATGTACACTTTCTCTTAGCCTTACTTATGCTTAAACTGCAACTTCTGTTTTAATAATGGGTACTTATTTTTACGACTGCAACTTTTTCATATACACTCTACACGGGCATAACCACAACATATTAAATAATTCACAATTGTATATTGAAAATTTTCTACAAAAATAAAAAAATAATTTATTTTTTTGTTTTTGTTTCTTTGTTTGTTTGTTTGTTTGTTTTTTTTTTTGTTTGCTTTTTTTTTTGTTTTGTTTGTTTGGTTTTTTTTTTGGTTTTTGTTTTGTTTTTTTTTAAATCTCAGAAATAATGGAATGTTCAAATTGCAATATTTTGACGAAAACGATACTTTTCATAAAGACGGATTATGATTTCATTTGGGCGGATTTTTTTTCCATTTTGGCGGAGAAAATAATTTCATTTGAGCTGAATATTTTGTTAGGGTGAAAAGTGGGGATTAACTGGCGCGATATATTGTGAAGAACATAGAGATATATTCATTTATAAATAAAACTATTTTATTTTCACAGGTCCATAGAACGCGGGAGGGGGGAGGGCACTTTTTTCTGAGTATAGTATTTTGATGTAGAAAATGTTCTTTGAGATGCTAGTTCCCCCCCCCCCCCATTCTTTCTGTAAGGTTGAGCACTGGCAAATTCAAGGATTTGGACAGGTTAGGGGTTTTTTTGGGGGGGGGGGGGGGGTGGAGGGAGTTGGCCACCTATTTTTTGGACAGTTTAGGGGGTTTTTTTTTGGGGGGGGGGATGAAACCGTTACCGTATTAATATATTCGTAGATAAAATAAGCAATGAAATACACGATAAAAGCAATGAAGAATCAGGTATAAATTACTTGACGTACGTTTAAAAGTTTTAAGAAAAAATATCACAGAGCCCTTTACTGATCGACTCTGTACACGCGGATTCAGATATCAGTTTTGGCTGTGTAATTTGTAGCCCACAACTTTTATGAAATTCTTCTGTGAGATCGCACCTTATGTTAAAAAAAACCTAATAAAATTTTCCATGAAGGCTCGAACTCATATTCGTACTAACGATAAGTTGCAGTTGTAATAAAGGGAGATCATTAGTCTTTATGTAGTTGTGCATTCATTTTATATCATGCAAAATAATTCGCCCAAATGAACTAAGAAATTTTCGCCCAAATAAAGAAATGACTTGAAAAACCCGCCCAAATGAAATGCACCCAAAGAAAAGTGGAAGGGGTTATTTTGCATTTCAGTGTTTTCATAAGTTTCGACTTCATATTCATTTAGCTGTTTTTAACTTCTGTAAAGGACAAAAATG